GGATCTCACTGCTTTCTTCCAGTCTTTGGCCTTTGGACCTCCCCCTGCCTGTCTTGCATCCACTTCCACTTCTCTCTCTCCAGTTCTTTGCTGGTGCCACAGACACAGAGGTCTCTCCCTTGTTTTTGTCCTCTTGCTCCTCTGCTTGCTCCTGGTCCCACTTTCTCTCATCTCCTTAATTGTCTCATTTTATCTCTTTAATTGCTCTCCCTTCTCTGGCTCTTTATCATTTCCATAAATGCATCTGTTAATGTTTACAAACCACCTCCCCCCCGACATATGTACACATACACAGACATACACACACATACACATTCACACAGAGGAACTTTTTGGAAGTTCCTCTTTATCTCACTTGCCAGACTCCAGCGCAGGTGATATAAAGCTCTGTCCTTGTCCTCTCCCTCTTCTATGCCTTATCTCTGGGTAATCCCAAACATAAATTCAGCTGCTGATCACATTAAAGATCCAGTGCTCTATTCAGATCGGTCTCCCAAGGTGAGATCAACCCCACCGAAAATAAAAGGGTAAGGTGTAGGTGCTTCCACCTGCAGCGCCGTCTAAGACTCCCCTTACAGCTAATCCTACAGGAGGTATCTAAAGCAGGTCAGATGAATGGCACCCAGGAAAACCTTGTTTCCTTCCCCTACCTAAACAGCAAGGCCAGCTGAGTGGCTCTGCTGCTAATGCTGGTGACTGCACCGTAGGCACTTAGGGCAAGATGAATCGCAGGCCTAAATTTCCAAACATAGCCTTGTCAGCCTCTCTGATGCTTGCTCAGATAAGCCTCGAAGTCAGTTCAAGCTCCAGCTTGGCTAAACCCGACCGCGTCACCATTCTGCTCCTCAGTTGCTGTTTAGGCTGATGTTCACGTGCGCCTACAGCTGGGGGGACACCTTTGCTCCAGACCTCTTCCTGTGTCCTTATCCAGGACACGTCTGAGCCTTGCAAGGCTTGTTCTGTAAATAATTCCTGACACAAAGCCTTTCTACCTCCAGCCATACAGGCTCTCATCCAAGCTGTTCCCACTTTGACTCGCGCTGACTGCCGAAGCGCTTGTCCTGCCCTTAGTAAATGCAGCCCTGTCCTGCAGAGAGTCACTCGAAATGCCTCAGCAAAGGACATGGCTCCAGCTGGTCCTCCGGTGCCGTCGTGGCTATCTTCGCATTTCTCCCCTAGCTCCCTTCTCTCTGTCACGTCAGATGAGAGCCACTTGTCCTCACTTTCGAGACCTTCCGTAGTCCACCCCCCGGCTCTGCCTGTCTCGGGCACAGCCTCTCACGTGGAACAGTCAGCCCTGCCATCACCCCTCAGCCGGCGTTAGCACCCGCTCACTACGTTCTCGCAGGCAGCCCCGTGGGTGTCAGCCTGCCCAGCCCATCTGGGAGGAGCTGCCTGCGCACAGCTGCACAACCAATGCACCTTCAAAACTCCTCTTTTCCTCGCAAGAAATACCTGACAGGGGTTAGGTTCCTTTCACACAGGCAAATACTGTCTGGCCGATCCCTCCGGTGTGCACGACCTCCCCCGTCAGGTCAGGAGCCAGGCTGTCCCATGCGATTTCATTGCCCGGCATGGTGGGCTCCTTGTCCATGACCGGTGGGCTTATCTCCTACAAATGAACAGATCTAAAATGGCAACAGCAGCCACTGAGTCATGATCAGCATTTGCAGAATAATATAAAGAACAGTGGACTCAACCTTAAGCGGCACAGCTGTAAGTTAGAGATAGTACGTGATGTTAATAGGGCGGGGAGAAATCCTACGTATTTGTCACTCCTTCGATGATCCTGCCACTTCTTAGAAGCACTGAAGATTTGTTTATTAAGATCTGAAAATGCCCGCTTTAAAGTCAAAGAGTGTTTTGACCACATTACAGTACATACACTCAAAAGGGTAGCATTAGACTTGAACTTTTCACTTCGTACTTTCTCTCCTTTCAGTGACTAATGGTGTAACCTTAATTTTATGTTAACTGCGTTGGCTTTTTACATGTGCTTTCTTATTCAAAATAAGAAAAAGAGCAGCTAAATAGCCTAACCCTTTAAAATCCAGAGGGACTGTGACAGAAGACAAGCAGCTGTCAGACAAGTTTGGGGTATTGGCTGGGGCTTCCTCCCCTGGGAAAGGAGGTGCAGAAAGAGGTGGGTGTCTGCTAGTCATCTTTGAATCACGTGCCTTACAATGGTTTGCACAGACTGTATTGAGGGTTTTTTCTTCTGAATTTTGTCTTTAATAAATCTGTGCCCTTAAAGAAATTCTAACAGGGAGTCCTTGCTGTGATGGGCAACAGATTAGCCCTTGCGTATAGGAAACTACTGTTCTGAAAGAGAATATGGGAATCTCAAGTAGGATCACTTAGTGTTATTTTCTGCATTGGCTTTTTTTTTTTTTTTTTCATAAAGATTTTTGAGTATGTATTAATGTGTTGGGGGTTTAAACATTCATCTCAAAGTTTAGCTGCTTTGCTCCAAGATCAGTTAAGGTCATTATGGATGTGCCGAAGAGTTCTGGAATGCAAGAACTTGCTTGTATTCTGATTTTCACACTGACCATCTGTAGGGTATTTTAGGACATACACGTGGGAGTGTGAGAGAAAAGGTAGGTATTAAACTGCTGGAGTGAGAATAGCTCTGGTATTTTCTGGGCAATTTGTAAATTATAATGAAAATTATCTCAAATGTGATGTGCAATGAATCTCTTTGTGAAGGATACTATGTGGGTTGGAGAAAAAAATAACATGAAAGTGAAAATTCTGTTAAAATGCCAAAGACCAAAATTCTCTCCTTTTATTTTTGAAGTTGAATACAGAAGACTTATTTCCTTAGTTTAAACTGAGGAATGAAATTATGCTGCAGGCACTACCGTAAGTTCAGTGAGCTTTACTTAACTTGTGACAACAGCAAAATACTCACATAAAAGAAATTAGGTCGCTGCCATTTAAGTGTGTTAGTCACTGCATTATGCTCTGTTGAAGCTGGGATGGCTAATGGATTTCTCCTGTTTAAGATAAGTATAAAAGAAATTGAGCTCTTTTGGTAGCTGAGATCAAAGGAATACTAAATTCTGACCAGGCATGTGCAGCCTGATTGAAAACTGTCCTCTGCATGTTGATGGTGATTTGAATAAACATGGTAAAAAAGAGCAAAATGCATAGTTCTTTGCTACCTGGAGAAAAAGTTGGGGTCCTAGCGGCAATTGTTAGGTGGAATGGGGGTTGGAAATATCTTCTGTCGTCTAATTCTTGCTCAGGACAAGAAAGTGGGACTTTGCTCATTCTCTGCACATGAACAGTTTTGCACAAGAGATACATCAGGCTGTTATCACCACCTCATCCTAAATGAAACAACATCCAGAACATCCAAAGTCATGAACTATGATGCAACAATCCGCAATTCACAAGTACAGTGACACTTCTCTCTCCTAACGCTGCTGATGTTCTATCTCCAAGAGACAAAACCTGAAAGGGTAAGTATCTTGCCAAGGTGACGGTGACATGTACCTTGTGTCATGAAAAACATGTACCTTGTGTCAAATGGAAAGAAGGTCAGAACTCTGCTTGGCAAATTGACACAAAGAACTATCATCGTGACAGGTGTAAAGAATAGTTTTATACAGGTAAGTACCTCCAGCTGCTCTCTCTTCAGTGGTCAATGTGTCCGACAGCCATGGTTTCTATTTGTAAAGAAATGCTTATTTATGCTGCCATAGTGGTATTCTTTTAGTCTAAAATTTTATCTAATGTCTAGAGCTAAACTATTTCAAGTATTTCTAATTGCCAGTTTTATTTCATTGAAGTCTAGCTATGTTTCCGTTTCCTTACTATTTAGATGTCTGCAGTCAAGTAAGAACAACTGCAATAAACTAGAGACCAGGAATCAAGCATGCCTGGAAACCAGTTTATTAACAAAATGTACAAAGCCCTCATTCTCTTTGGCACTTAGCATATTTTACCAGCAAATACTCCTGGCATAAACCCCGTTCAGGCTGCTGAAGGATGTTAATAAAGAACCACTGCCTTTACAGACACCTTGCACACTGGTACCAGGCTTAAGCTTCACTTAAACGTGGTTGCATCTTCTCCTGAGTTTCAACGGACACTGCCATGATTGTAGTTGTTGCTGAGTCTGTAATGAGGTGTAAAAAAAAAAAAAACACAAACCAAGCCTGTAAACTCCTAGTGAGGCATTTGATTTCCAGGCTAAGCTCACCTGGAGCACAGCCAAGCGGCGAGGGACGCTGCCCCTCTGCCAGCGGGGCCTCGGGCCTGGGCAGGGCCGAGCTCCTCTGAAACCCGTTTTCAGCAGCAATCGAGTGGCCCAAGGACCGGTGGCCCCTGCGATCAGAGGGACACGCGTAGGCAGGGCTGGCGTAAGGGGACAGGCGGCCCTTGGATGAGAGGACACGCACTGACAGGGCTGGCCATCTCCCCGCCATGGCGGGTTCCCTCTTGTCAGGACGGGAGGCCAGAACCTGCCCCACAGGGTGACAGTTCTACGGTGACAGACTACAGTTCCCGGCGTGCCCCGCGCGAAGCCGGGCCGCCCCGGAAGGCTGCGGGGCGGGGGGGGGGAGGGTTGGCCGCGCTGGACGCTGGGACACGTAGTCCGGAGGCGGCTACCGCCCGGGGCCGTGTCCCGCGGATTTGAAAATCCCCGCGGCGGCGGTTCTCGCGAGAACTCTAATTCCCCCGCCCCTCTCAACCCCACCCCATCCCAACCCGCCCCCCCCACCCCCCCCCACTCCCCCCCCCGCCCGCCCCGCGCGGCGGGTGAGCGAGCGAGCGAGGTGGGTGCCGCGCGCGGGGGGGGGGGAGGGGAGCGGGGTTGCGCAGGGCCCCGGCTGCGGCCACCGGCAGCCGCCGCGGGAGATGCTGCCGCTCTCATCGGCACGTACGGGGGGGGGGGAAACGGGCTGGGGCCGGGGCGAGCGGGCGGCAGGGAGCAGCGCGGGGAGGGGGCGGTGGCGAGCCTCGCCCGCCCGCCTTCCTTCCTTCCCTGCTTCCTTCCTTCCTTCCTCCCCTTCCTTCCTTCCTTCCCGTACCAGCAGGTACCGGGCGCTCCCGAGGCGGCTAGGCCGGCGCCGCTGCCGCAGCGGGGGCCCTGGGCGGGCCCGGCCGCCCGTCGCCCGGCCCCTTATGTAAGTGACCCCCTGGGCTGCGGAGCTGTTCCCCGCCACGTGTGGCCCGGCCCGCGGCGGGAGAGGCCGGTGGGGGGGGGGGGGGGCCCGCCGGCGGCGCGGCCTGGGCAGCGCACATGGGGGGGCGGCGGCGTGCGAGGCTCCGCGGCCGGGAGAGTCCGGGGGGGGGGGGGCGTGGGAGATGTGGCGGCTGCCACCGGGAGCCTCCCCTTCTTGCCCGGCCGCCTCACGCCCCGGCGTCGCGCTCCTCCGGTTGCTTCTGGAGATATTTCCCCCCCCCCCTTCTCTAATTTTCCTTTTCTTCCCCACCTCCCTCCTTTCGGTGTCGTTCTCCAGGAGGAGGCGGGAAATTCGCTCTCTGCGTAGTGCGGCGGGAAGAGGGCTGGGTTTAACGGGAGAGCAGAGCTTTCCGGGAATCGCGTTGTGGGGGGGGGTCTTGGTTTTGGGATGAAGCGTGAAGCACGCAGCAAAGTTGCTGACTTAAACAAAAGCGCTGGATTTCTACTTTAGTAATCTGTGATTCCGGGTCTGGAGCTTCTGCCAATAGGAAGAAGCATGGTGTCAGTCTTTCAGGGCTAATAACGGCTTTCTGATCATGTTTGGCAAAATGATGGGAAATTTAGGAACTTAATCCCGTCGGGAATGCCAGACCGCCTTTGGAATGTGTGCCTAAACGTGGTGGCTGAAGCTCCTTCTTTGACCCATCACTCTGGATGCTTGTATGGGTCTCAGCTGGCAGCTGTCCCCTGTGTTTGGGCACAGAGCACTGTATCCTGTTCTGCTGGGGTCACTTCCTCAATCTCTTATGGCATCAACTCCTTTTCTTGCACTGATTTGCCTGGGGTTTGCTTTTTTAAGGTAGTGAAATGGACTTAATCGGTCTTCCATGAATGTCGTGTCTCCTGCCTAGCAAGCTGTCGGGTGTAGTTTTAGAGCAGCAGTGGTTGTAAGGCTTTGCTGGCGTGGCAGTTTTCCTTGCGTGGTGGAGAGCATATTCCACCTGGGAGGAGAGAGTCACCAAAAACCTGCGCCTGTTGCGCGTGTTGCAAATGTTTCCGCAGCTCAGCTTGTCAGGTTGCTGTTTGTAAAAGTGTGTCCAGCTACACCAAGCAACGTTAAAAAAAGAGCATCATTTCAGAACGGACGTCAGGAGGTTTGGCTAGCTTTGCCACGTTAGACAGGGGCTGCACCTCTTGAATGAAAGTGTAGTTTTGCCAGAGAGTAGCCGTAGGAGGTAGCTGGGTAACCTGGCTCTAGTGTCAGGTTCTGATCTGTGTTGGTTTGGCTTGTTTTTTTCATCTAAAGGGAAAACAAAGCCATGGTCTGCATCAGCTCCGGGATCTTCTCTGCTGGGGGTTGTCAGGATAGAGAGCTGAAACTCTTTCCTTCTCACCTTCTGCTGTAGATTTGTGCTTACGGAGCATCCGCACAAACTCTGCAGGAGAATCTGTGGGCTGCACTCGAGTGAAATAAGCCTGATGGTAGAATTCTGAGACAGACCGTCTCCGATATGTTCGTGGCCTTTTAGACTAAAACGTCAAGTTTGGATTAATTGTAGGGTTTTTGCCTAAAACACCAGAGGGAGTTTTTCTGCCTAAGTGGGAAAGACGTAACCCAGTGGTACTCGCTAAATCACATGCTAACTCGCTCACTACATCCTCTTTCTGCAGGAGTAAAATATGGCAAAGTGCAGTTTCACTGAACCTGACTACTAAGGTGCAGAGAGAATCTTTTCCATCTGCTGGTCCTCCAGTGCTTGTGAGTTGCTTCCTGTTTTTTTCTGGGGAAAATATAGTTGAACCGGTTATTAAGAATAATTCAAAAAATACTGTAATTGTCATCTTTACCTGTTATTCAACAAAGTAGATACTGTTTTTCTCGAAAGAACTTAGGTTTTCTTCCATTTCTTCTTTGGCTTCTTCCCACTCTTTGTCCTGTTTCCTTGGAAAATGTGATCTGAATAGTGTCACACAACGTTGTCCATTCTCTGATCACCAAGTAACACTTCCCTGAAATCCCTTTAGCTGCCGCATCTGGCTGAATGAGAGAATGATGCCTGCCAGCTGCAGCCGTTCTCAGTGAGACAGCGAGTCTCTATGTGCAAGAAGGAGTTAAAAGTTGACTGTTTCTTGGGTAGTGTCCTTTCTAAAAATAAAGAGCTTTTTAGCTCTCCTTGCAAACTGAGTTTGTAGTTTCACACGTCTATGAGGTAGCATCACGGCTTACTGCCACGAAATGGAGACGGATGAATTCCCCCTCCTTCTGCCCAAAGCATTGTCCTGCCTCCTTCCTTGTGGCCACTTTTATGCTTGCCATTTCTCTCTGCAAGCCAGTTTAACTTTCTAACGTGATGGAAAACAGTCTGCTTTCCTGGGTTAGTTCCCTGTCTGCCTAGGGAGTTAACTTGGCTCATAAAGTGCTCTAAAAAGTGTGTAAGTCTGTGCAAGGTAAGCCACAGGAGCAGATGGAGAGACGGGAGGTAGCAGCAAGGCCTCTCTTTTGGTGGCAGTGAAGTCAATATTCCTTGTGAAATCGTATCTTCAGCTGCAACTGACCACAGTTTTCGCTTTTTCTTCAGTAACATCATAACATTGTTGGTTTTTGAAACTGATTTTCGTGTACTACCGCCAGTCAAAACTGACATCCCGGAACTTGGACTTGGCTGTAGGTGATTCTGCTTGGACATGTAATTTCTCAATATTTTTTTTCTTTTTTTTTTTTTTTCCTCTGGCGCTTTTAAATCCCAAATCTGTCATGAGTCTATGACTTGTGACATGTTCCTTTCTTTGGAAATAGTTCACGATGCTTGGAAGTCGGAATTACCTAGGGTGAAGAAGAATGGTAATTTTGGCGACTTGTACACAGACCTCTTTGCTATAGGATACAGCTGGGGGGGTTGGATTCTGGTTTACTCCTGAACGTGGGGGGTAAGCCCGTGGTCATTTACACTGATCTGATTTCTAGCGGGCAGAAATTGGAATGTGAGTGCAGTCATTGTTTTCAAAGAGAGCAGAAGTGCAGTTAGTGTTGGATATATCTCTTAAAGGAGAGGCTTCATGCCTTTAACCCAGCTCTATCTAACTATTTTCCCACTGTTTCATTTGCCAGTAATCCCTGGTTTAACCAAGCAGAATGATGCAAGTAAAACATCCTAATAACCAGATCACTATGTGTACTGTTCATAATTTATTATGGATTTTATCTTCCTAGTTCCATGCTGCCAAGCCAGATGTTTAGGAACAAAATCTTTAAAATGCCCACTGGCTTACTAGCGGAAACCTGGGCATGCCTGATGCTCTGGCATTTTCATGTGCTTTTAGATGCAGTTGAGAAACTGCAGCATGATTAAATTGGAAATTACACGAACGGTCCAGGTGTTGGAGTGTTACCTATGTGATGGTTCTTACTGGTGCTATTGGACTGATAAGTGTATTTGATGTGTACTGTAGACTGGACTACACTGTGTTAAGGTGTGAGCTTTCCACCAGAGAAGAATCCTTTCTGTATTGGTGGTGAGTTTGGGGTGATGAGTGGTTTCTTTTTAAACTCAAATCTCTGCAGTAGAGTATCTTAAAATTTGGTTTCCGATTTGGCCACGCAAAGTTCTGTGCTCTTGGCCTGCCCAGGTAGGCAGTGGCAAAGACAAGGGCACTCATGGAGAGCATGCAGTTGAGAAGTTTTCTTGAATGCTGTTACCTGCCCTACTGCAAGATATTTGTTCACTCTTTTTCATAGAACTGTTTTGCTATTACTGTGAGACATTGTATTAATAGTCACAAAGTGCTTACCAGTCAGAGATCTCTGTGTTTGTTTAGAAGAACGTTTTTATTTTTTTTCATCCACTACAATTGTATATGCTCGTTTTGTAAATTTGTGCTGTTTTCTGAAATTCCTTAATATATGTTGTTATATCCAGACTTCTCCCTTAAAAGAGGATTAAGCGACTGAATATGTTAAAATAGATTGCTTTGCCTAGGGGGAGTAGATTGGTCAATGATTTCATTAATGATCGGGATGATGAGGCAGAGTGTACCCTCAGCAAGCTGGCCGATGATACAAAACTGGGAAGAGAAGTGATAAGCTGGTGGGTGACGCTGCCGTCCAGAGGGACTTTGACAGGCTGGAGAAATGGGCTGATGGGAACCTCAGGCAGTTCAACGAGGGGAAATGCAAAGTCCTGCACTTGGGGAGGAACATCCCCACGCACCAGTATGTGCTGGGGGCTGCCCAGCTGGAAAGAGGCTTGGCAGAAAAGACCCTGAGAGCCTGCTGGGCACCAAGCTGACCATGAGCCAGCAGTGGCCCCTGTGCAGAGAAGGCTGGTGGTGTCCTGGGCTGCACGAGGAGGAGCTTTGCCAGGGAGTGGAGGGAGGTGATCCTTCCTCTAATCAGCACTGGTGAGGCCACACCTGGAGAGCTGTGCCCAGGTCTGGGCTCCCCAGTACAAGGGAGACATGGGCATACTGGAAAGAGTCCAGCAAAGGGCGACTAAGATGATGAAAGAACTGGAGCACCTCTCCTGCGAGGGAACACTGAGAAAACTGGGGCTGTTCAGCCTGGAGGAGAGAAGGCTCGGGGGGATCCCATCAGTGCCCAGAACACCTGAAGGGAGCGGGTAAAGACAACAGAGCCAGGCACTTCCCAGGGGTGCCCAGTGACGGGACCGGGGGCACTGGGCACAAACTGAAGCATTTAAAAGGTGTTATTCACCAACCCAGTACATCTGTCCTAGTATGTGGTATTGTGGGTTACTCACAAGACGTATTCATTAAATGATTACAGTTAAGCTAGGCCAGACTGCTGGTCAAGTTGTGGGGCTTTTTCTTCTCTGGAGCCCCTGGGTGCAGTGCAAAAGGCTGTCCCGCTGTCACTTTGAAACGACATCAAGTACCAAAAAGCAAATGCAATGAAACTGCAGCAAACAAGTTGTCCCACTTGGAACTTGACATATACTGGATTCCAGTGCCCAGGCTTTAGGGCATAATCTTTCTTACAGTGGCTTTTTCAATAACCCAGAGAACATAGTAACTGAAGTAGTTTGTATTCCATACACATGGAAATATCACTTATTTAGCCACCTATTTAACCTTGGCAATCACTTCAGCTTTCAGGTTTTCCCACCAGAACTTGTATTTTGACATACTGAAATATGAACTCTTTGTGGAGCACCTGTAGGAGTGTGGACACCATCTGAAGGGCCTGGAAATTTTTATAGTAGACTGCAGGGGTGTGATGAGGGCAGGCAATAGGAAAGAAGGGATTGGAATAAGGAGTATGAGGATCTCGGTAAAGGAAAATATCAGTGTTTTATAGTGCTGTGTTCTGTTTCCATCGTAAGTGTATGGAAAACTACTTTCTAAATGATGAACTGTGGAAGTCTGTATTGCTTGCAATGTGAAAATATCAGCAGTACGTTTTCTGGAAGAATTTGTGAATGAAAGTAGTTAAGAACTCAGGATTCCTTAATGTTCAAAATGAACACACAAAAAGTGAACAAGACATAAATGATGCATGACATCTACTGGAAGGCAATGGAGAAGAAATAGTAAAGTATGACATGAAGGGAAAGGACAAATGGATACTTCTACCACTTACTGAGAAGCTTTTTAAAATACGATTTTTCTTAGCTCGCATCTTATTAACCTGTGTGAGTAGACGTGAACTCAGTGTATTGGGTTTTTTCCTGTTGTTTATCTTGTCCATACGTCTGTGTTGCTTTTTGTTTGTGATCCCATAGGCATCAGAAAAGTGAAAGGATTCTCGTTTTGCTCTGCTGTGAGATTGAAAACTGTCCCGAGTACCACTTTTTTAAGGAAAGGAACTACAGGCAATGTATAGGAGATGATTCACTGCATCCCGATGAAATTTGTGTCAATCTCAAGAATATTTATGTCTGACATGAGCCTAGTTTTGCATTTTTTTCATTATTTACAGTGAAGAATGCGAGACCTAGCAGCTCAGGTAACGAGCAGTCTGCTGCAGTTTCCCGAGGTGACTGTTCAGGCACTTGGGGAAGATGACACAACCCTAGATTCTGTGCTGAGCGGGAAGTTTTCTGGAGGTGAGCATTTTCCTTTAAATTTGGTCTTGGTGTAAAGATGTTATTGCCTGGAGGTTACCTGAAGCATAGGGGCACCGTATCAACTGTGTCAGGTTGGCGCTGATAAGATGCATTGGGTTTGGAGAGAACAAAAAGGATGTTTTAACAATTAAACGTGATCATATTAAAATGCTAGTTTAGTTCAACTTTGAAACTGCAGCAACCTGCACCAGTCTTGTGCCATCAAAACAAGTTCCTTAAGCATTGCTGGGTCGGTGAGCCCTCCTCAATTTCTAATTCAGTAAAAGGCAGTTTTCAGGAAAGTAATAGTGTTGTTTGGGGCCGTATTGAGTTGTAAGAGCTCAAACTATGACCGCCATATCATCACATGCAGAAATGTTACAGAGGCAAACCCCTCTGGTTTTACTTTTCTAGCGTGAATAAAAACAGAAGGAGGGGGAGAAGACTGTTAGGCGCTGCAGCCATATGTCCAAAGTATCTGATAGGGTGCAGATGAGTACCCAGTGAGAGTTGCTGAAAGTGGCTGAGCACGTTAGGTCGTTGACTTTCTAGGTGATCTGAAAGTAGAGCTGGGTGCCTGTCTGGATGTCTGGGCTTCTGTTAAGACCAGTTGGAGTCCATCTGCCTGACTGGAAGGGCAGTGGTTGAGTTACTGCTTCCTTTGAGTTTGAGGCAGTTCAGTGAAACACCTCGTGTTAAATTGTTCCGGTGCTCAGCACATGTAAAAGTTTAAAATTTACTCATGCGGTGCCCATTTTAAGATAAATTCTTGCTGAAGTCCAAATCCCTGCCCAAAGTAGACATGTGTCAAGTAAAATGAATACACTAGAAATGAATTGGTTTATTTAAAGTATGCTTTATGACTTGTATTCCCCTATGTATTTAGTGGATACAAGCAAAACCAAGCTGAATCCGGTATAAACACTATAGATCGATATCTTGTAATCTATATCCCAAACGATCAGAATTCTTCAGTGCAGGGCTGACAAGTACAAATGCAAAATAATGGAGGTGTTAATGTTAAGATACGTTCCTTGAGGATTTCAATGGGTGACTTTAAATACTTGACCAGAATCAGGCATGTTGGTGGTCTTCTGCTAGGTACTTTTATTGAAGGAAAGGGGCAGTGGCTGTGACTTCTCGGCAGTTTTCAATTTTCTGTTTTAAATTTGCTTAAGTCATCTTTCTTTTCTCTTCCAGGGAGAAATGGCCTGGCATGGCTGGCATGTGGTCCTCAATTGGAGGTAGTGAGCTCTGTGACAGGAGAGCGGCTCTCTGCGTACCGTTTTGGTGGAGTAAATGAACAACCTCCCACTGTTCGTGTGGTAAAGGAGTTCTCCTGGCAGAAGAGAACTGGGCTGCTGGTTGGGTTGGAAGAAGCAGAGGGGAGTGTTCTGTGTCTGTACGACCTTGGAATATCAAGAGTGGTTAAAGCCGTGGTTCTTCCAGGAAGGGTACGTGCTTTTTAATCAGCAAAACAAAGCTTTTTTTGTTGTTAGGTGCTGCATGATCCTGTTTCAGGAAAAGCTTTGGAGCATCTTTTTGTAGGAGGTATTTTTTCTGTATTGTGTTAGCATTCTGTCACTTCAGAGTATCCAGTCAAGACAGCCTTGATCCTGGGCTTAATGGTACTATTATCTTTTGAGTTGACTGATAGTAAATCGAGTTTTTCTGGTTTTATTGTAGAGCACATAGTTACCTAATTCTCCGCTTCCACAAAAAGGCATTGAAAACGGTGCTTTTTTGGCCAGAGTGAGAAGGGAAAAAACCCACTCTTTATAGTCTGTGCAGCATACATTTCCTGAATGGTTTATTTCTGTCAGGAATGCTGTCTTTAAAATATCTCAGACATCCATAGTTGTGCAGACTCAGAGTCCCAGACTAGCAAGCAGGTGACTTCAGAGCAGAATAGATTCCTTCTGTTGACTTAGGATAGAAAAAAGAGCCTTTAGTGAGTTATCTGACAGACTGTTGAAAGATTGACTGTCCTTGAATCTCTGATTATTGAATATTGTGTTTGTGTGGAAGGGACACACGGTTATGATGTTACTAATTTTTTCTGTCTTTATAATGCCTGAGCTCAAATGATGTGATGACCCCTAGTCTTACTGTCTTAATGCAAACAAGAATCAGCGTAAGTTAATTGAACATCAAGATGCGTTCTGTTTTTATCCTCCTAGAATCTGCAACAAATAAATACTACTTCATTACTCAGCTTTCTATAAGGTGATTTGACTTGACTTGCTAGAATAGGGGTGGCATTTTGCTTGTTTGTTTGTAATGCTACAGTGTGATTACTAATAGTAAGCATTTGTATTGCGGTAATTTCAAAAGATAGGAGTTGGGTTGCTGGTCCACTGTGTTAGTTTGCCTGTTATCTTGAGAAATCCTGGAGTTTTAGATGGAAGGGCATGTTGTGGGCTGACATAAGCATATAATCAGTAAGCAAATTATATTTGTGGAAGATGACATTGCTTTTTTTTAATTTTATTTCTTACATCTAAGTAAACTGGGAATGGGAGAAAGAAAGGTTAAGGACCATGTCACCTACCGAATCTGTGTCTACAGAAGTGACTTGAGATCGAATGTAGTTCTCAGTTGTATTAGGGAGTTTTTCTATACCACAAAGAAATGGTTCAGGAGAAGATACGAAGAAACCTTCTGGGGGAGAAGTTGGCTGTTGTGTGATGAAGATTGTGGATTTTGGAATAAAGCCAAAGCTTATTTGAATATTTGCTCTTACACGGTAAATGCTCTGGATTACAAGCATCTTTGGTCTGTTGCTTTCATTTTGCTTCCTATCTTTTTGCTACTAGATGAGTTAGATGAGCATAGACAGGACAGAGGTATTGCTAGTTGGACTGCTAACTTTGAAGCTGTGAGTGTGGGAGTAAAGGTAAACAAAACCAAGTAGATCAAACTTGTACTTGGCCACAGTCCATAGGTGTTGAATATATTCTGTAACTCATACTTCCAAATTATGCATTATGTCATACGCGTTTTAAATCTGCTGGAATGTTTCTCTGGTTTTCACACTGATGATCTTTAAACGCAAAATGCAGATCTATTCTTAACATCACTTTCCACAGTACTAACAGTTGTTACTGGTTTAAGGCTTTAATGAGCACCTTAATTTCTAGACTGTTTTCCATGTGGGTATAACTTCTGTAGACAGCGAAGCTGTAGCGTTTAACACTAACTTAGAGTAACTGTGGTCCAAGCTGTGAAGCCATTAGTGTGTTAATACAGGGTATTTATAGTGACTGTATGACTGCCTTCTAGCGTAAGAGTAGATGTGTAGTCACTCAGGGAGTTGAGGAATGATTTAAAGAAACAGACTCTCAAGCTTCGACAGAATATTGGCGTAATTTTGTGTGTGTTTGTGAGCATCTCTCATTGCCCTCTGCATATACATGTGAAGCACAGCAGAAAACTCAGAGTGTTAATGGAGTGTTATTTGAATGGTATTCTTGTAAAAGCAAATCTGAATTTAAGGTATTAATTATATTAAATTGGTTTATAATGGTTGTATGTTTCAGAACTATTGGGTGGTATTTTCACAAATGTTCCTGGTCTGTAGGAGGCAGAAGGTTAACATTCAGATTCAGTGAGCTGAGAAGTTTTCTTTGTTCGTTCCCAGAATGAGCTGGCAGTAGTCAAGGGGAATATGAAAAGCCAGTGCATAGCACAGTAGAAAAATAGGCAGTTTCAGGAGCTTCAGCATGGCAAATTGAAGTGTTAAAACTGGGAAACCTTTCTGGAAGACAGTATGCAAAAATGGAAGAGATTCCTTTGGAGCCAGTTGCACAATGAAAAAAAAGTCTTAGAAGAAAAAGCATTTACAAGCAACACTTGAACTTTGGCTAATTCTGCAACAAGGTAGATAGAGTATTTCTGCTTTCCTCATAACATTCTCCAAGACTTGGAGCAGCTAGAGTTTGAATAATCAAAACACTTTTGATAGTCCTTTGAGCAGCAAAGAAGGTTGAAAATTTAATTTGATTTAGAGAAAATCCAAAACAAAAGAAAGTTGCCTAAATTCTTCTAGGTAGTTCTAAGAGTAGAATTCTTGTGGCCGGGATGGAAGTTAAATTCTGTAGTCGATTACCAGGCTGTGTAGTCACAGCAAGGGCTTGATATGGGTGAGGAGAAAGCTTTGGGGCTTAAATGTATGTTTGTTTTTACCCACCTCTGGGGATGGAAAAAAATATGCATCAAAAAATGGACTCCCCCGTGATGCTCAGTTCTCTGTTTTATTATCATGTAAGATTTTGTTGTTGCTGTAGAGCTTCCTGTTTTCCTTCTGTTGCTTTTTGTAAGAAGGCCTCTGTTCTTTTGTTGTGTCACTGTAGTGCAGGACTCTGTGTGCTTGTACCTCTGCTATGTCAGTCGGTTTTGTCCTGGGATGTGTTGCAGGTGCTGCAAGGTCTGTCTTCACCTTGCAATAATATTAGCCTCTTAAAGAGCAGCAGGGGCTCCTTCCTTAGATTGGAGTTAACTCTTTATCTCACAAGCTGCTGTTCTCTTTGCCATTGTTTTAAGCGTGGAAAACGTATTCGGTTGTCTAGTTGTTACCTTTATTCTACGTGTGGAGGACCGTAAATTTTACTAAGCCAGTATTTCCCTTGAGCACTGTGTAAAAATGTTTCATTCCCGTGGAAATGGTATGTCTGCCATGCAACTGGACCGCTGCCTTGTGTGACGTACAGCCACGATTTATTGTAATACCTGTTTGGCAGAGAAGGCATAGACTGTATCCCAGTGCCGATGGGCTGTGAGCGGTGGGAGAAGGCGATTTAGTTTTGTCTGTCTTCCTTCAGTCCCTTAATTACGATCAAGCTTTTTGCATACACCTGATTTTATGTGTTTTCTTAGACTTAATTATTTCCAAGTAGCAAAGGGAAATTGGTAAGCTGTAATAAGCTATGTAAGCGGAAGTTAATTCACTTTAAAAAGTGTGGGAGATCTAGTGAATAGAAAGCAATACCAGATGTTTGTAGAAGGCTTTTTTTTTTTTTTTTGTGTGTCCTTAATATAATTGAAAACAATGTTTTAAGTCCAATGGTCCTGTATTTATCTTCTTGTTTCTGATGTGCTACTTGTGGCTTCGCCTTTGAATGATTTCTGTTTCCTCGTCAAACAGCTTAAATACTAACTTGCAGTTTCCCTGTAGGTAACTGCTGTAGAGCCCATAACTAATCACGGAGGCGCCAGCGTGAGCACTCGACACCTACATCCGAGCCTGCGATGGCTCTTTGGCGTGGCAGCAGTGGCTACAGATGTTGGCCATCTACTTCTAATTGACCTTTGCTTGGATGATTTATCCTGCAGCCAGAATGAAATAGAAGCATCGGGTAAGCTTTGCAGGTTTTAAACTCGAATTTAAAAGGAAGAAACCCTGTGTTTTTTAAATAAACACTATGCATGCCACTTTGCAGATACTAGTGTGCAGACACTGATGACTGCTGATTACAAATGGCAGTTTGACATCACGTAGTCCTGACCTGATTAAAAATGAGAGTGGCCTAATCCCCCTGCTAATGTTGTAAACGCCCCCCCTCCCACCACGATCCCTATGTCCCTGTGATTCTTGCCAGTGAGCTGTAGGGATTTCACCATCAGCTGCCTGACAGGAAGTTGTGCCGGAGGTGCCCTATTTCTTGGGAACGTTGTTCTGCTTCCCTTAATTGACTTGGGACAGATTTTAGGCTTGATTTTTTTGAAACAAATCCGACTTTCCAAAAATCAGGCATGTGGGTGAATGAGATCTCCAGCTGGTCTATTCAGATGGCGTATGCTGTTTCAGCTATTACAGCAGTGGCTTTGGGAGTTGATGGCACTTCAGATAGCTTCATCATGAAACCCAAACTCCCGATTTACAGAGTCCAAGCAGAATTTGTCTCTGAAGGTTACGCTTTTATCTGGTTTTGACATATGAGGGAGAATACCTGTCTGATCAGAGAGTTCTGATTCAAAGAACATAGATAGAAAACAGCAGTAGCAAAAGAAACATTGCATAAATGAGTATTTTGCCTGGGCTGGTAGAATTAGGTTGTACGTGTTGTCACGTCAGTGTTGAAAATGCACTGTAAATGGCATAACACATTCATTCCTTGCGTGGTTCTTTGTATGTAGATCTGGAAGTTGTCAGTAGAATTCCTGCGGAAGTTCCACAGAGAAGAGAAACTGTGACCAGAGAAGGGAGACATCTCTGTTTTCAATTACAAAATCCTTCAGGAACAGCAGTATCAACCCTCAGCTACATAAGCAGAAGCAATCAGCTCGTTGTGGGTTTTTCAGATGGCTACCTGTCACTATGGAACATGAAAACGTTGAAGAGGGAGTAAGTAGGCCTTTACACTTGACCGTGCCTGGAGGTGCATGGGTCTCAGTGTTTTGCTTATGGAAGGACGCTAATTTAAAGAGAACTCTTTCAGGGAATGACATTTTGCATATAATCTTGGAATGTTTAGAAATCCTTTTCTGACAGAACTGTGAAGTGACACAAGGACCAAGCAGACCGCCTTCTCCCCAGTGGACTGGGATTGTTTTCCTTACTGTGCCTGTGGATTGGGGAATTGTGGAAAGCGTGCTTCTTTGGGTTATGGCAAGCAGTTAGGACGTGACAGAGCTGATTTTTATAAGACAGTTTCTTCTATTGGTGGCATTTGGTGAAACCAGGAAATTCGTGTATGTAGATGAAACAGATCTTAGAAATGCTTTTTCAGAAGCAGTTACTGCAATGAGGGCATACCTTGAAAGGCTTAATTATGTTACTAGTGTGATTTTGGTGATAATATTCTTTAAAGTGTCCAGGATGATACCAGTGAGACATGAAGAATCAATAGCTGGTCTGTGCCTGAAAATATATTCTTTCTTACATGTCAGCCTAGACCGAAACAGGGGAGTGACCCATTCCGAGGCAGCAATGCACGTGAATGAGAGTTTGCATGGAACGCTTGGAGATGAGAATAAGGGACATGTGAACTTACAAGAAAAAGAAAAATTCAGAGATGATTTTAAATCTGCCAGAGAGCATTTTCACTTGAAATATTTGTCCAAATTCGGGTAGGGATTCATTTCAGTTAATCTGCAGTTACTATATAGAAACGGTTGGATGCCTAAATAGACAGTGGAGGAATAATTAGGTGGCAAGAAGAGATTGTGAAGGTACAAATAAGGTTCAGAAGTCTGGAAGAAAAATGCTTTGTATAGTCCAGGTAAAGAAATGAGGAACTACTTCTGTTTGGTGCTGGTTTACATTTGTTCAGAAGATATGTGCATTTTAAGTTCAATATTGAAGTAGGGTTCAGCAGCCAGAGCATTCATTTGCCTGGCAGCTGCAGTAATCATTTTTGTTCCTCCCTCGCAGGCAGAGGAGGGCATAAACCCAGGCTGTTCCATTGGATGGACAGTAATTTCCTCACCCTTTGATGCTTGTATAAAAATAATCTCTTCCTTGACTCACTTGTTTGAGATGGAAGTATGACCTCTGTACTTTGAGGATAAGGACAGAAGGTGCTCTTTTCTCAGGAGATGCTTCTAGCCTTATACAAACAGTTAGGGCCAGTAGGATCACATTTTTATTTTATTTTATTTTTTTCTTTTTCATTTATTTAAACCTGTAGGCACCACTCTCAGCTTGAAGGAGGAAGGATTCCTGTCTATGCTGTCACTTTTCAAGAGCCTGAGAATGATCCTCGCAATTGTTGCTACTTGTGGGCAGTTCAGTCTACCCAAGAAAGGTGAATAACAACTTACTATAAGCCACTGATTATTTAGTTTGTTTTTTGTTTTTTTTAATATTTGTCCACATACAGTTGATATGTGTATATTTCTGTTGTTTGTTTAGCTGTGCAGATGATTCTGTCTGGTAGGGAAGGTGTTAAGCTTATAATGCAACTTTGTCAGGATTTAGCAGAAGTGAAGAGGGACCTACCAGTTCCTGCTTCCTGAAAGGAGGCAAAGCAACAGCGGCTGTATTTTTGTGCTTGCATTCCTGAATGCTTTCTTTGTTTCTTGATGACTGTTTCATGATTTCTTTGATATTTGCACCGTGGTATTAAACTACCATTGAAAGTAGTTGAGGCTGCAGACCTGGAACACTAAGCGTGCCGATACCGCAGCCTGCTGCCCCAGAAGGAGGGAGGTGACAGTATTGCCCGTCACCTTGTGCCAGCTTCAGCTGTCCCCGGAGCCTTCACGAGCCTCTTCAGCTCACCTGGCACAAAACGCTCACTGTTGAGCAGAGGAGTCGATGGTTCCCTGCCAGGCTAATGAACCAGATCAGAATGTGGAAGGGTGCAGCGTGTGCAGGAGAGGGACGGGAAGTTTGGCGGTGAGGGAAGAGGAGAAAAACCTCTCTCTTTCAGCATCAGCAAGCTACTTAATCAGCTCAGCTTTCAGAGTGTGGCAATCTTTTTGGGTTTGACTGTAAAGCAGTTTTGATCGAGAACACTTCACGGTGAAGAAGGATTTTCAACAAGTGTTAGTCCATCCAGCATATTAAAGCTTTCAGATTGCATAGTTAGCATTTGTCCCTGAAGCTGTGCCAGCATTTCCTCCTTTGTGTTTTAGCCACTAAATGTGACCAGTTATCATGTTTTGGGCAGTGGGTTTTTCTTTTCAGCAAGAGCATGCTATTAAGAAAGCTTCGGTCTAGATCTAATAAGGTGAGAATGAGGACTATAAAGCAGCTTTGTAATCAAATTTCATAATTTGTACCTTTTTCAGTGAAGGTGATGTTGTGAGTTTACATCTGTTGCAGTTAGCATTTGGTGAGAGAAAACGCTTGGCATCAGGACAGGTCATGTATGAGGTAAGACGTGCATGTATGTCAAAAGCTGAAAACAGTAATTTCCTCTGTGTGAGTAACAACTGAGTTGGCCGAGCTAATAGTTGCCATCAAAATTCAGAGCTGACTTAAAAAAAAAAAGTTTTGCTGAGTCTTGGGCACGGCTTTTGTCCCTACTTCTTGAGAACAAGTCATACAACTTCACACTGCAGTGTCGTGTGTTCCAACTAGGTTTGTCTGCAAAGAGCCCATATAAATGCAACTCCTGAAGAGGCAGCAGCTTTTCCAAATAAAATTCTTCTTAATTGAAACACCAAATCAGTGGCACGTAGGAAGAGAGGACAGGGCTTTGCATAGCTTTGTTTAACCAAGCCACAGGCTTGAGTAAGCTTGTCTGTCTCCCTTTCTTAAAATACTGTCATAGAGCTTTATTCCTTTCTGATCTTTGGGTTTCTATTCTTGTTTTCCTTGGAGCTTTGTCAGCTGGGCCTCAAGTGAAGTGCACGTTCTGTGTGTGTTAAGTGTCGATCCTGAAACTTAGCAGCAGTAAAGATAATTCTTTCTACTGTTTGGCTGGGTTACCTACGAAAGCTACTCTTAAAGCCAGACAAATACGTAAATACATCAAACAGCGGTATGATTTGGTGAAAAGGGTGTAGATAAAGTTTTAGACCTGGCTCCAAATTTGATGTGTTTAAAACATAGATGAGGTATCATTATATCTCAGATAACTGACAGACGTAAGATACATCTGTATAGTGTATGTTTCTACTCAGCAGTATGCTTGGAACTCTTCCAGAATCTTCTTGAGGGGAAAGGAATCTTAATTTAGAGCAATTCTTACCTCCTGTTTTGATACCTTCTCTTGTATATTCTCAGTGGGTATGGAAAACGATATAGGAGTGATTCCTGTGTCGTGATACTCTGTTTTTGTAGGGACTGTGAGCTTTGATTTTTTTGGAATGAGCTTAAAGTTTGACCTTTTTCCTTACCTATAAGAAAGCTCCTTCCTCATTTGTAAGTGCTGCTTTTGATTAGATAAAGGCGAGGTGTTTGGAGGAGGTGGTGTTTCTTTAAAATGCTTAATCTCTTACAGTGTCAAAGTAGAAGTATCTTCAAGTGATTCAGTGTGTTCTAAATATGGATGTCATCTCTTATGTTCAGTTTTTTTATGACATAAATATGCAGTACTCTAGAGGAACAGAACACCTTCGTTGGGTTTTTTAATTTTTAAAAGGGCTTTCCTTACAGTTCACTTCTGCAAGCCTTGCAGTGCTCTGAGCCCTTTGGCAGCTTGATAGGAGAGAGATTCTTTAATCTTTCCCCAGTTTCATTTTTGAACTTCTGCTTAATTTTACCCTCTTTTAAAGGTTATTTGTAGCTAGAGTCTTAGCAGTGTTACCTGTACTGTGTGCTCCTTTGGAAGAAGCCTTGGTTGTCTATACCCATTCCTCTCGGGGCTACTTTGTTCTGTCTCATATCATCTTACCTTTTACTATTCGGTAGTTCTTTGTCTCGGTCATCTTACTTTCCTGAAGAAGATGTGAGAAGCATCAGATTTCACCTCAGAGAGTTGAAGTGTTTCAGCAGCCTTTTAGAATGGGTCCGCTAGAAATTCTGTTTGGCACTGTTTTTGAAAAAGCACAGCAAGTGATAAAATAATGTTGTTGTGCTTGTGACCTGAGAAAGCTGTGGTGTAATTACTGTAAGACTTCCTGACCCTCTACAGACTATTCAATCAGTAGTACGTTCACAGGCTTCTGCGAGGTGTCAGGCACCAGTCTCTGGGTTTGAGATATTTTACTTCCTCGCTGTTTCTGCTTCCCTGTGCTGAGTGCTGTGGAAGATTGAAACAGGAACCAATCTCAGAAGGTAGCTGAAGAGAGAACTAAACAGCTGGACTCTCTGGGGAGAAAAGGCGGGTTCTTCAGCTTGCTTTCAGATGAGCCACTTACACGTGTAGCTTCATACCAAGACCTGATGATACCTACTGCCCCCCAAAATGCCCAAAACAACTCCCAAGCCCCCTCAAAACCCCAAAGATGCATTAAGACGGGATCTGTGCTCAATGGTGGACACTCTCAGTCTCAGAATACCTCCCTGTAGTCAGAGATTGGTCAGTACTACATGGCTCTCTGCCTATATGACTGTCTGAGTCAAGATTCTTGTCCATCTTCCATGGAAGAAAATGTAAGAGTTGTTCCCGATTGCCTGGCCAAGTTTGAGTAAACAAAGGTGGATCCAGTTTTGACCCTTGTTCATTGAATAGACTTCATAGGAGGTTGAAAGACTTGTCTACCGCAGCAGTGCTTTTCTTTCCAGGAATCAGACTTGAGGCTATGAAACAGTGGATCTGACTTTTTATCATGGTAAAAAGTCACGAATAGGAGTTTTGGACCGTGTGGCACTGTAGTTTTATAAATAAGCATCAGAGTTGTGCCTCCACAGCTTCAAGGCTGGTTTAAGTCTGTGCTCAAGTAATTAATGTAATGGAATGTTGAAGTTATGCTTTCGAAGATCGTTTTTATACCATCTCAGGAGTTGCTAAATCTAGTGCCTCCAGCCGTGTTCATGCAGCACATCTTGGCCTTTGTCCTACACAACGCCTGCGGTTGGACAGAGTATAGAGTCTCTGCTTTCATATCCGAGTCTGATCAGTGCATCTCATTTGAAAACTGTCCTTGTAGTTTACTGGTCAATAAAGTAATTACTTAACATCTTCCGTACAGCGGAGTTCCTCAGCTTAGATTTGCTTGCCCCAGTGGAAATGTAAAACACACTGGTTTGCTTCAGAAGTTGTCTCGGGCAGGAATTGATATTTTCTTTCCCTTTCCTTCTGCTCCAACTTTGTTGGGGACTGGCTCTTCATATATGAATAAGAGAGGAAATTGATAGGCATTAAAATTAATCTCTGAAAGGCTTATGGAGTTTTAGTACTTTATCTGAAGCAACGTTTTTTTGGAATGGTGGACTTCTCATTCAGGACAACATCTTTTATTATAAATCGGTTTTAGTGATTGTTCCTTCTATGATAAAAATGGGATTTGTTGCTTAGGCTTCATGCTAGTTTTTCAAAGAGGTGGTTTTGGTTTTTCTTCTCCGCACGTGTCTGTTACTTCAGAAGTTACTTGACAAAATAGAATGCACTGTGCATGCTTCAGAGCAAACTTTAGCTAGGGAAATACTAAATTTTGCACTTTACAGCCTAACTAACCTGTTGTGATTTGACACTTAATTTTCTTGCCTGTCAGATGTAGTTTCTGATTGGTATCAGAAATACGTTCATGGGAAATGCAGAATATAATATGCATGTGATATCAGATACGTACATTCTTTCATATTTAGGTATAATGTATGTTTTTACATCACAATGACATTTTCTCTCCTCTTTTATTTTTTTCCCCAGGGTTTGGAATACTGTGACGAAAGGTACAGTTTGGATCTCACGGGTGGAGTCTTTCCCTTGAGAGGGCAGACCAGCAATACCAAGTTACTCAGCTGTCAGACTGTAGAAAAATTTCGTAACCATGTTGACAGAGAAGATAGTGTTAATGAAGGTTTGTTCTGATGTTCACGTTTGATACTTCTAAAAAAAAAATAGTTTTTGGAATCTAAGCAATGAATCCTTTGGGCTTATTTAAAAAGAAATATTGTGTGCTTAGGTTTTGTGGGACTTTGTAATTGAAACATTAGGTTTTATTTTATTCTTGTTGACATGCTGTAGAGATATATGGTAGGGTCATCTGTATAATGTTTGTTAGTCATTTTATTCCTCCACCCGTATTCTTGGAACGATAAGATCATTCTCTCTATTGCTTAGAAATGTGCCCTGAGTCTTTTGTTTTCCTTTTTTTTTTTGTTTTGCTCTTCAAACCTATGTCTGTATCTGCACCCAACTGGTGGCCGATCACAACTGGTGTTCCCCAGGCCTCAGTATTGGGGCCAGTTGTGCTTAATAACTTTATCAGTGATCTGGACGAGGGGATCGATTGCACCCTCAGGAAATTTGCAGACAGCAAGTTGGGCGGGAGCGTTGATCCGCTCGAGGGTAGGAAGGCTCTACAGAGGGATCTGGGCAGGCCGGGTGGATGGGCTGGGGCCGGTTGTAGGAGATGGAACAGGCCAAGTGCCGGGTCCTGCGCTCGGGTCACCACAACCCCACGCAAGGCTACAGACTTGGGGAAGAGTGGCTGGGGAGGTGCCTGGAGGACAAGGAGCCGGGGGGGGTTGGTCGGCAGAGGGCTGAATGTGAGGCAGCAGTGTGGCCAGGTGGCCAAGAGCATCCTGGCTTGCATCAGCGATAGTGTGGCCAGGTGGCCAAGAGCATCCTGGCTTGCATCAGTGATAGTGTGGCCAGGTGGCCAAGAGCATCCTGGCTTGCATCAGTGATAGTGTGGCCAGGTGGCCAAGAGCATCCTGGCTTGCAGCAGTGATAGTGTGGCCAGCAGGAGCAGGGCAGGGATCGTCCCCCCGGGTACTCAGCCCCGGTGAGGCCACACCTTGAATACCGGGTTCAGTTTTGGGCCCCTCACTGCAGGGAAGGCACTGAGGTGCTGGAGCGTGTCCGGAGAAGGGCACCGAAGCTGGTGAGGGTTCTGGAGAACAAGTCTTAGGAGGGGCGGTTGAGGGAACCGGGCTTGTTTAGCCTGGAGAAAAGGAGGCTGAAGGGAGAACTTATCGCTCTCTCCGGCTTCCCGAAAGGAGGTGGTGGTGAGGTGGGGGTCGGTCTCTTCTCTCAGGTAACGAGTGATGGGACCAGAGGAAGCGGCCTCAGGTTGTGCCAGGGGAGGTTTAGGTTGGATGTTAGGAAAAATTTCTTCACCAACAGGGTTGTCGAGCACTGGAAGAGGCTGCCCAGGGAAGGGGTTGAGTCACCATCCCTGAAGATACTTAAAGGACATCTAGGCATGGCGCTTAGAGACATTGTTTAGTGGTGGACTTGGCAGTGCTCAGTTAACGGTTGGACTCGATGATCATAAAGGTGTTTTCCAACCTAAATGATTAAGATTCTGCCTGTCCATTTTTTCCTCTCTTTATCTGAGAGGTTTCAGCACCTACAAGTTCTTAAAGTGGTCTTAGTCCACTTGTGTCATGTTTCTGAGGAGAGTGCTGTCTAAAAACTTGTTAAAAGCAAAAAACCACCACGGCCCACACCCCAAAAAAACCCCCAAAAACAGAACAGCATCCAAAAACTTCTTTCTGTCTACTTCTTATGAAGTATGAAGCATGAAGCAATACCTATAGTTTTTCTGATGGTTTCTATTTAGCTTTTATTCAGAATATTTCACGTTAACTTCTTGGCGGCACACATGAGCTTCTGTTGGATGTGGGTTGAGGCTAGCAATGAATCTATCTTCCAAATTGTGAAAATAATTGATACCCTCAAAGGCAGTTTCAGCGGCTGTCAAAACTGAAGTGGCACGGGAATTCACAAGGAAACATAGTAAAGTGTGTGAGGATCCCTCAACTGTAATGATGAATTCATCAGAGAACAGAGAAACGTTTTGCCAAACTGTCTTCTTGTTCTTTACTCTGTTAGGGTAAATGATACACCACATACTTTGCTTTACGCCTGGAGAATGCGTTTTCCCCAGAGAAGAGAGACTATTCCACTTATTGAGGGAAATAGAGTGTAGCATTGTCATATATAGTATAGTATACTATACTATATGTAGTATAATCTCTACTGTTTATATTAAAATCTTTATTCTCATTTCCTGCTTGTTGGGTTTGGGGTTTTTGTATTTTTTTTGTGTGATAATTGTGTTCTTTCATTCTGAATATGCTGGAGAGGAGCTGTTCTTGAAACCTGTGATTGAGACAAATCTGGAAATTAATAATGCTGGCTAAATGATACAAGTGTATACAATAAGTATTTGTGCTTTCTAAAAGAAGCAATGTATGTGTTTCTAGCATATTTTTTTTGCTGAAGTGTTCATCTAGCTAAATATCTTGCTCAGCTCTTAATGTATCTAAAACTTAATGAGATGATAATTGTGTTTCTGATTCAGCTTAGAATTGATGCAATTTGAACAAGAAAAAGGAGCAGTATGACTGAAACCCGTCACAGGGATGTTTGCTACTCTGTGAATTGTTTTTACTATTCTTAGTCAGTGTTGCATTTCATGAGTGATGTAACAGAATTAAAGCAAAATAGAATGTGGTGTTTTAAAAATATTAGATACGGCATGTTTTCTACAAACAAGAAACAACGTCTTGTCTTTTACAGTAATATCTCCTGAGACCAGTGTATCCATCTTCAGCTGGCAAGTGAATACGTATGGTGAGGGAAAGGCATCTACTTACTTGGGCGTATTTGACATTAATCGCTGGTATCATGCTCAGATGCCAGATTCACTAAGGTAGATTTTTCTAAGCTTCTTTTCAATGTCCCTCCAAATAATTCATTTGAAAGTCGGCATTTAGCTTATGCATTGTTTTCTTTAAGGCCAGAAGAATTCCTTCATGATTGCCCCTATTTTGCGTTGTGGTCACTGGATACTGTACTAAGTATGACTTCTCCAAGCCTCATTTTGGATATTCTGGTACATGAAAGGAGTCTAAGTCACGGAGTTCCTCCATCTTATCCACCACCTGAACAGTTTTTTAATCCAAGCACCTATAATTTTGGTAGGTATTTCACTGCTTTTAATAGTAAGAAGTTGAAATTGAGGTCGAGTGCTGTTTATTGTATGTCACTCAAAAACCAAAACCCAAAACCCTGAACTCCCACAAAACCAACTTAAATTACGTTGCACTAACAGGGTATTTAATATTGTGAAACACATCTGTCAGTCTGCTGAGTTTTGGTGCTTTTGTGATGTAGCCTGTGAAGCAGTGACAGTTATAAATTGAAATGACTTTGAACTGAAGTTTAAAGCACAGCATCTCGATTGCACTAGAGATAGACTTTATTATTTTCTTTAAAAATCTGTAAGTGATCTGATAAAGAAAATGGGCACCGAGTTCTGTCTTTCCAGATACTGCTCTTTAAAAACTGTAAACTGGTCATAAAATAACTGTGAGTGTATGGAAGGTTGTCAAACGTTGGTTGTTTCTGCAGATGGTACATGCTTGCTGAACTCCGGAGTTGTCCATATGACTTGCACCGGCTTCCAGAAGGAGGTGATCATTTACCGAATCTTTATTGAGAATGTAAAGAGATGGACCTTTTCCAAGTTTTCTCCTGCACTGCTTTCAGTGTCAGAGACCGTTTTATGCTCGTCCTGCCCGTCCACACGCATAATTGCAGTTGTATCCTGCCAGTTTTATGCAAATGAGAATGTTTTCAGTCTACTCTTGGAACTGTAAAATGACCACTCTCTCCTGTTGAAGCATGATCCGAGACTGAATGTCTAGAAGGGAATAAAACGTTGCTCTAAGAGCAAGAACAATAGTGTTCCTGAGAAGAAAGCCGTTTCTTCTTTCTTACCCATCAGTCGAGCCTGTGTAGTCTTGAGTTAGGGTTTTGATCCCGGGTCTGCTTTAAAAAGGAGGACAGAATGGAGAAAGTGAAAAATTCGTGTAACTATTGGAGAAGAAATTAATTTTCTTTCTCCCAGCCTTGGCCAAATTCTAACTTCCAAGGCAGGGCACAGCTTGTAGCAAATAATTTTGAATTAAGTTTCAGCTCACTACATATTTCCAACATAAATCAGCTTCTGCACAAAGAAGCATAGAAAGGCTCATGCAAAGTGTGATTTGAAGTTGTGTGTGTGTTTTAGCTTATATAGAAAGTATTTTGTGTCAGTGTTCAGGGAAAAAGAAAGGCCTGTGCTTTGAGAGAGAAGCGAGAAAATACTTGAGAATTGCAAGGGCCAATATTTTGTTTTTGCAGGATTTTTTTTAGAAACTATATCTGTTAGTTTGGCTGCCGTCCTTAAGCCTCTATGTAGTAATGCTTGCTCGGATTGCTAACCTAAAGCATATTACTGCTGTGAGCTTTCTGGCCGTTTAAGTGAACAATTATATTATTTCTCTTAGTGGTTAGCCAGAACCTTAGTGATGGAATAATACTGCTGTCTGAATCTGTAGCTTTTGATTGATGTTTCAGACCTTGAATTTTTTGAAGAAATCTGGACCTTCAATACGTGAAGCCATTCATGATAGCTACAAGAGGTGTCTTGTAGCTGGCTTGCTGTCTCCAAGGCTAATTGATGTCCAGCCATCTAGTTTGAGTCAGGTGAGTGCCTATGAGGGAATCGAGGGGGAAATACATCCATCTTGCCTGACAGGGCTGTAGAGGCTACAAGACACGATAACCTGATGTTCCTGGTATTTGCAAGTTGCACTGAGATGCAGGTGTTGGCTTTAGTCAGCAGGAGCAATAATACTCTTAGGTCCAAACTACGGAGTTTGACGGGGAACAGCCCTAATAGCTTTGTCTTTAGAGGCCCATCAGTAAATTCTGTGCCGCTGGTACGCACAAGGGAGCGTGCAGTCCGTGCTGCTCGTCTTTCCCTCAGACCCTCCGTCGCCCCCGTCGGTTTCTCAGAGCATTGGGTTCAGTGCAGTAGCTGACAGGGGTGTCTCGCTGGGGTATGAGCTATTGCAGACATCAGGTTGCTGCACCATACATGGTCACTAGCTTCCAGGGAAGTGGGCTGTGGTAAACAGTTACTGTTGTCAGCTGCACCTCAGTTGCTTTGCAGGTAATGATTTTACCTAGAAGGGAAAGATAGTTTTGAGTGGGTTTAAAAAAAAAAAAAAAAAGAAAAAAACAAAACAAAACAAAAACAAACAAAAAAAACCCCCAAAACATGAAGAAACAAACAAACAGAAAGGAAAAAGTAAAATTTTATGGAGGATCATTTCACCTGGAAGAAGTATCAGAAGATGAGGTGAAATAAGCTGCTACTTAATATTGCGTGTCTGTGCATACCTGTGCATTATCCTTCTCACAGACTACCACTGCATTCTACTACAGTATTTGAACAGCCTAAAACCTAAACCTATTAGAATTGAAACGTTTCACTTCTTTTTGGCCATTTTAGAAAATTACAGCGTACAGTTTTGGGTGTCAGAACTGCTTCTTGTCTTCGTAGTCTAGAAAGCTGCTTGGCTTCGGCTTCCCTGTTTCTGTTGCGTAGCTGTGTTTGTTCTGTCCCCTTCATGCATTCCCCACGGCAAACCTAGATGCACAAAATGCACAACGGGTATTCGCAGGGGATGTCGCTGACAGTAGCTATTTGGAACTCCGTAGAGTGAGACTGTGATGCAGAGGCATGTAAATAAAGATGAAAATTCGCCTTCAGTAAGTTGAAACGCCAGAGGAAAAGTTTAGTGTGTTCCTCAGACCAACAAGGAGTCCAGCCTGTGGCTGGAATTAAGAAAAAGAACGTGAAATGAGTTGCATGTGTGCTAGTTGACTTTGTGATGTCTGAATGAGTATACAGTTAGAAACAAATATTTAGTGTTGATGGTTCAGATCCTGAAAGCATGTAAGATTCTTATTTTATTTTGTCTGTTATGTTTAGGAGGAGCAGTTGGAAGCGGTATTGTCAGCTGCTGTCCAGACAGGTTCGCTGGAACTTCTGACTGGCTGCATTAAACATTGGACATCTGAAGGTAATACTGCTACTGATGCTTTTATGTTAGAATATTTTTTTAGTTTGAAATTGTTGATTCATTTATTTTCCTTTTTTTTTTTTTTTTTTTTTCTTTGTTTTACAGAGCAGCCAAGTTCTGCTGCTAGTTTAAGGTTTGTTCTCGAGTGGACATGGAACAAAGTGATCTACACAAAAGATGAATTTGACCAAATATGTGAGTACTAGTGTAGTCATTCTGCAAACATAAAGTCATTCTTTCCACTTGAGCTTGTTCAATAATCTGCTGATGTATGGTATTGCATGTGGTTCTTTAAGTGTACTTTGAAACTGCAAAATTGCTCTGTAGGCTAACGGTCTAATATTTATTCTTGAAAAGGTGTTCCACTGTTTGATGGCTCTTGCAACTTCATTGACCCACAGACATTACAGTCCCTGCAGCACTGCCAGTTGCTTTTGAGCAACCTTAGCACTGTCTTAAACTGTTTTCTATCAGAAGCACAAGAGCTCACTGAAAAAGGTTTGTAATAGCATGATTAAATCTTTGGCATGTTTTGTTCAGATTTGGAGTTATGCTTGGAAAGTGTGGAAACAGGAGCTTTTGTGGGTATTGATGCTTGGCAGATGGTTGAACTTAGCTGGGAGAAAGGGCTTAAACCTGCAAAGTTGGGACTACCACTTAACACGTGTTGAGTTCAGGGAAGTGGTTTGTTGCGGAGTTCGGGCAGGTTGGTAGGGGAGGCGACACTCGGCAAGAAGCTGTGTAAGCAGCTGGGTTGACGTTACAACAGCTGAATGTGGTAATGCTGAAAAAGATTCTTTTTGATTCTTAGCTAGCTATTTGTAATTGCATGCCAATACTGTACTGCACATTTCTAAAAAACATCGAGGAAGCATAAATGAGTAACTTGTAAGCTACTTGAGTTTCTGTAGCTTGTGATGTTATCACTTGTTCTAGGCCTGTTGAGGGGAAAAAAGTATCCCTTTGCTATGGTAAAAATCTCTGCTACGTGAAAAACCAAGGTCTTGTTCATGAGTGTACTTAATGGCTTAGGCTTTATGTTATTTTAAGCTTTAGTGAATCTGTCTCTTTGTAGGAGTTGCTTTTTGTTTTGGTGGTGATTGTGGGATTTTCCTTCAAATAAGAAAGTGATACAGAATGAAAGTGGAAAGACAAAGCTTTCTACCAGGATATTCTTGGACTTTCTATTTAGGATGATGATGCAGGGAGTTTTGTCAAAATGACAGGAACTGCATAACAAAAATCATGTCTTTTTTCAGGTTTTAGAGACTTGACAAATAAGCACGTGGTAACCAGCCTCCTTTCTCTGTATGCGCAAGTGGTCATCTGGTTCTGCCGATCGAGTCTCCTTCCTGAGGGTTTAGGTAAGCATAAACCGTCGTACGTTTGTAACAAGGAGGCTGTCCCCTGAGGGATTCCTGTAGATGCGTGCATAGCCATGTTTTTGCAGATGCTTGGTCAGTAACAAGTTGTGTTGGTTTGGCGACAGCACGTGCTGAAGTCCTGTTGGTGAAACAGAGGTTTCCCTGTTTTTTCACATCCATAGTGTATGTTAGAGCAATAAGCCTCTGACTTCAGGGAGTTGCTTCTGCCCACAGCTTGAAATACTTGGGGTTTTAAATACATTACTATTAAACAAGAAATACTGAAACACTTGTTTTTACAGTAAAAGCGTTACCTGCATATTTTGAACTTCTTATTGCTCAAGTCAAAAATGCACCTTGGAAATGCTGCTTTATTTGGATGGAGCGTAAATTCTATTGTCAGCCTTAAGTGTTTTACAGATGTTCACACGACATGTTTGAAGAACCATTCCCTGTCAGAGCTGTTGTTTTTTATAGTGAACTTCAGCTTACAGTACATGTTCTGAAGGCTCCCTCAACCTGAAATGGCACTTGAGACAAGAAGGAACGGAGTCTTGTGTCTTATATCACGTTTAGCAAAGGCAGAAACAGGCTTCTTTCAAAGTTGGAGGCTTGCTTGTGCTTCTTGATGCTTAGCTTGTACGATTTTCTGTCTCCTCAGTCAAAAAATCCAGTGATAAAACGTGAAGTCGCTTCTTTAACTTGCTTTTCCCTTGTTGCCCATAGGGGATGATAGGCATTTGTCTAGACCTTTCTACAACTATCCTCTGATTCAGAGCTACTATACTGGCCATCGACAGAAACTTGAGCGTCTATCAAGGTAAGCCTTGCAGGAGAACTCTAGAACTCTTCCACTGCAAACTCGGTGGCAGCGTCGCAATCAGCGGATGACTGCGATGGCCTTTTGAAGAATGTAATTTTGAAAGGTTCGGCCACCTGCCAGTTCAGTGGTGTGGGTATAGAAACATAAACGCTGCTTAAGATGATACTAAAATTTACCTGTATGCTCAGCTTTCTGAAAATAACTCTTTTTCAGTAGCAAAATTGAGATGCTGAGAACAAAATGTGAAACTGCAGCTGTGTTGTCTCACAGCTGTGTACTGGGACACTCCAATTCGAGGCATTAGATTTGTGATAAAGAACAGTCCTGGTGTTTAGATGCTGTTATGTTTCCTCTGCGAGGCAGTATGAGTGTGATTGTTTCTGGCACTTGCAGAACTTTGCTTGTGGTAGAAAGGAAGTGTAAACAATACAAGAAGAAAGGAAAAATTGAAAGGTCATTTCAAGTTTTCCCTCCAGAGAGCTTTCAGGATTTCTGTTTTGAAGTCCTTTAAGAATTCAGTAGGATCTAACAAACCTCTTTCATCTGACTCAGAAATTTCTTTCACATGCATTTCACGCCTTTGTATGTTTGGTTGTATGTATGTTGTATGTTTCTCTGACTCATGGGAGTGTTTTGGGGGGAGGGAGGGGGGCTGACTGTAGGAAATCTGTTACACCGAGAGGCTGGCATTAGGGTTTTACTTTGTCCCAATCCTTGCTACCTTCTGTTCCAGAGGGAAATGGGATTCTGACTGCTTGATGATCGATGGAATGGTTTCCCAGTTAGGAGACCAAGTTGAGAAGTTGTGGAGGAGAGATGAAGGAGGAACTGGGAAATACCCACCTGCTAGTTTACACGTGAGTGTTACGTTCACTGGAACAGCAACAGCAGCAACACCACCCCCACCCCCCCAAAAGCCAGTGATTTATGAAAGACAGGAGTTTGGAATAAACTTTTTAATTTTTAATTGCAGGCACTACTGGATCTCTATTTGCTAGAAAGCGTTGAAGAAAGCTACAAACATGCAATTGTATCCTTTTTAGTTATTTTTATTACACCTTCAGTATATGCACATAGATGTTCTCAAATGTTTGTCACCTACATGTTTAATAACATAATTTATGCTTCAGACACAATGCAAGGGAGAACATTTAGTTTAGAATTAAGTTGTAGACAGAAGCATTGTTTTGTTTCTTTGTACTGTGTCTTTTTAATGATTTTTTTGTATGTTTTGTTGCCACATCTTTTCTGAGAAAAAAAGGTTTATTGAGAAACGGTAAAGATAAAAAGCCCCTTTAGTTCTTCTCAAAACCTAAGCACTATTTTTAATTTTTTAAAGCACCCATATCTGGTGGCAAATGGCTGTGTACTAGAATGATGCACTGAAACAAGCTGCTTCATAGCAAAAGGATTTCTAAGAGTGGTTTGCCAGTACCTGATTTTTGCTGAAATCAGTGACTTTCCACCACAGTGAACAGTACTTGCTTTTGTTCTGTTAGAAGTGCAGGCACACAGAATAATAAATGGAGAGAAGAGAAAAGTTATTGGGTAGAAACTTAATTTTTAAGCTGCTGAAGTATACAGAATTGCTTTTGTTGTTTGTTGCCTAACCTGAGAGGGGAGCCTAGAGAGCAAGGGGTTTAAAAACTGTTTTACCCCAGAGCTGTCTTACTAGAATATGTCCCTAGAAATGGATCTCGGAACGAGAAAATTACCCTAACAATGAGTGATCCATATACAGCTTTGAATCCTGTTTTAGTCATTCAGAGCTAATTGGTATCGTAAAGACACCATAATTCACATTGTTTAGTATGCTCTGGAAGTGAGGGAAAAAACCCAACCGTACGATGTGTTTGCTTTAGTAATTAAGCATGGGATGTTCAAATGTTTTGAATGTCCAGCTGGTAGCTCCACCAATTAAAGAGGGAGCCTGAGTTTCTAACTGAAGTGTTTAAATATCTAAAGTTAACGTTTTTGAATGCCTTGCCAAAATCAAAGTGTATTTCCTTCTGGCTATTTGTGCAGAATGCATTTGTGAGGTTAGGACCTGACTATCTTCAGGTTAGAAGAGCTCAAAATGGCAAGACTAACACCTCAGTATTTTCTGATTCCTACCTCTTTCATATTCTTACTTCATTCTGTTTTTCTAAATGTAAGGTGATAAACTTGTGGTCTTACAAACGTATTAACCTTAATTAGATACTTGATATCAGACCATTTACTTGCTGCTAGATATCATGCATTCCTTTCCTAATAAAACGGAAACTTCAATCGACTCCTTCCCGACTGCCTTTGCTATCCCCTGGGGACTCGTTAAGCTTATTCAGGGTTTTTGGCTTCTAGATCACAATGATTACGAGGTAAGCATGTTCCAGTTTAGTGAGACACACATTACAGTTCCAAGCTGTAATCTCTAAAATGATTCTGAAAACTTGGTGCTTAGCGAAGGACAGGTGCTAACGCATTAGAAGCTTGTTTGGAATACTGCTGCTACATTGTCAGCAATAAATTAGGGTTTGAAATTTTGCTTTAATTACTTTGCCAGGAAATGGATTAAAAGAAAGAAGAAATCAACTTTAATAATGCTTGACCTTTGAATTTTCAAAGCCATCCCTTTGTTTTCAGCAGAGCAGTTGAGTTCTTCCTCAAAACCAGTGTTCTAGGTACTTTCAGTATTAAAACGAAGAACATAGCAGCAACATTTGAGACAGAAGACTGCAACAGTGACTTTTCAACCTAATTCACGTTCTTTCTGATGCTGAAGGTTGTTCTTGGCCTGTCACGATGTTAATATAAACCATTTGTCTGGGAGAATGACTCATTAGTTAGTAGTGTACTTATGAAAAGTGATGTTTGTAGAGAGAGATGTGGTTAACCTGGAAAAGTGGGAATTACTCCTTTTAAAAGACTCACTTTGTTCTGCCTGGCTAACTGAATGTTGTTCCTGCAAATACTTCAGAACTTTTATTCTCAGGTATTTCATTAGTCAGTCGTCTAAGTTTATTTAGCACACATTCACCCTCACCTAGGAAGCTTTTGAATAGTTTTCTCGCGGGCATGCATGTACAAATCTTAATACACCGCATCTCTGACTTCTGCAGAATTCACTGGCCCTGCTCTTTCATCCAGCTGCAATCAAAACTGTGTCATGGCAACATACGAGAATTATTCAGTCCCTCATGTGCCAAGGAGAGCAGAGGCGAGCCCTCCGATACATGCAGATGATGAAGCCATCAGTGTCAGGCAGTAGCGAAGTGCAGCTTTTCCTCACTGTGTTGTTGTCCAATAGGTAAAGAAATATATCCCATCGTTTTGCCATTCAAATATTGAGAAAGGTGGAGAGTGAATAATACAAATCACGGTCCCCTAAATTTCCTTTAAACATGATAATTTCGGGGCATCTTTTTGGTTATCCTGTTAATAATCCCTCTGCATCTCAAAAAAATTACAGGTGCATGGTGGAGGCTTGGGATCTGTTGCATCAGCACACCGCTAAGTTAAACATAGAAGAGCTGTTAAAACACATGTTTGAAACCTGCCAGGAGATGGGGCTAATGGAGGACTTACTGAAACTGCCTTTCACAGCCACTGAACAAGTAAGTGTGGACAAGAAAAAAAAAAATCTTCTCTTTGAAAAGAGAAGAGGCAGAACCACGGATGATGTTGTGAAATGTGTTCTTTCTCATAGGAGTGTCTGGAGAAGTTTTTACAGACCAATGCTGGTGTTCAGAATGCTGAATTTCTTTTAGTCCACCACCTGCAACGCGCCAACTATATCCCAGCACTACAGCTGAATCAGTCAATGAAGGCTAATCTTATGGTGAGTGTAAAAGTTGTGACAAGCGTGCAGGTTTCTGGGAGGTGTTACTAACTGCTTTTAATAGTACTCAGCGAAAATCCTGCTTTGTTTTTTATACTGTTCTTTGGAATACTAGGAATAAGCTTCTGCACCTTAAGTTGCAGCTGAGCCTAATATACAACCGAACAAAATACTTCACTACACCAAAGCTGCTCTGTGAAGTTAAAAATTAAAGGGTACAGATCATTGTTGATTCCGCTTGAAATAGTTTGTTTGCATCTGAGGATTAAATAGATATCTTTTTTTATCAGCCACTTTTCCCATTCAGTTATTCTGATCCGTAGGTGGTATAGATTACAGAAAGCTGTTGGTGTCACTCCTCTCTGTGGAACGAAGAGTGTGTTGTACATCATCTCTCATATCTTGCACAGAACTTTATTTTCTAGCTGAGAGCAGCCTGGGTGTGCCAATCCACAGGGAAATTTGCATTGGTGTCTTGTTATCTTATTTTTTTTTTAATTTTGTTTCAAGTTACAGTGTGAGCTCTACAATTCCACAAATTTCACTTTCCCACTTTTACGGCAGAAGTTCTTATCCAACCTCTTTCTCAAAATAGCCAGATTAAATTCTGTGCTATGTGGCCTTCTGCTGTGAATCTGTGATGCATTTGCTGTTTTCCGGAACCACAGTTTTCCAGGGAATCACTTATAAGGTGGTCTTGGAAATTTTAGGTCCTGCGTTTGAAAACTTTCGTCCAGCCAGGTGTGTGTAGGTAGCTTTTTCTTACTCGTTTTGATATTCACAGCATTTTGTCCAATGTAATTTGCAGTTGCCCTGTGTATTTGTTCCCCTCGGACACTGGAGCTTCAGGAAAAAGCCAGGGCAAGCCGGCTGTTCTGTAAGTCGTTGGAAACTCACAGGTGGTCACAAGTGTATTGGAATAAGGTTCTGCAGATTGCCAGAATTGTTTTAACTGAAAGTCGTAGGCTCTGTTACTGTTCTAGTCTGCCTTCTACTTCGCTAAAATTACCAGGTGAAACGGGCGTGTGCTGATGGGTAGAACTTGCTGCTGTTCTGTGCAGTGGGTGTATTTTTACTGTGTCGGTAGAGGAGATTTATCCACTCACTAAACACAGCACAGCTAGTTCTGCACAGCGCACTTGCTGTATTAAGTTAACTGTTTGCTTTGCGCTTTTCATTCGCCAGAACGATCCCGATCCTCGCTTCAGAGAGAGAGCAGTTGCCAGAAATTCCATATTAGACCAATACGGCAAGATCCTTCCTAGAGTTCAAAGGAAGCTGGCTGCAGAGAGAGCCAGGCCGTATCATTTGCCTTCATTGGCCTTAAGAGAAGGTAATTTTTAGCGAGGGGAATACAACGGACAGGTAACCCTCACTTTGATTACACAGGGCTGATATGTTTCCCTCTTGCTTTACAGTCACAAGGCCAAAGCCATTATCAACAGTAACAAAACAAGCTAATGCAGGAAACGTGCATACCAGAGCAACTTTCATCAGTAATGTGTTGTCCAAAATCGGAGAAGTATGGGCAGAAAATGAGCGGAAAACCAGTTTCTCACAATACAATAGGTAAGCGGCCTTTTAACAAAGTGTACTTTTGAGCTACATGTGTGGAGTGAAATAGAGAAAAATCTGTTCGAATTACGTTAGTATTCTGGAAGGAAGGTGTACCTGAATAAAGCTTTGATGGGCTTTTTTTGTAATCGGTTCCTCCTAAGTAGTATTTGGAGAGAGAGTTTTTCTGCTATGATAATCTTATTTATGCCAAGACCTATACTGACATTATGGTCAATGTGTTTTCAAGAATTTAAGATAGCTGAAACTAGGACTATGATGGCCATCAAGCTCTCGGTGTACTGTTTTGCAGAGGCTTCATTGTGTGGCCAAACAGGGATCTTTCACCGCTTCCTGCCCAGTTTCTGCTCCGTTTCTGCTTTTCCTGCCTAAGGTCAGGCAGAATTATAACGAGCGGAAAAGAGGCTGGTGGTTGTCAGATGATTTTTCCTTCAGGTGCTATGGTCAAATAAACCTGAATTGCGGTATGTTTGGACTTCAGGGGGATGAAAGTCAGTTACGTTTTCCTTTTCGTTCTAGCCCTAGAGTTACAGAGCCACCAGCCGTGCCTCCTCCTCTCCCTGAGGCAGAGTTGTGCAGTGCATTTGTTGGCACACCAGTTACAAGATTTTCACAAAAATCTTCCAGGTATAGTAGATCTACAGAATGAATATTTCCAAAAGGTGTTGCTTCTCATCTATCTACGTGTATGCATGTGTGTGCGTGTCGGGACACAACGCAGTGGAGAATTTGAAGTGGTCCCAGCATTGAAATGCAGGTGAATTTCCCTCTGACATGAGAATTACATCCCTTGGGCAACTTAAAATGGGATTACTCTTGCCTCGGAGGCAGTGATTTAGGAAATGAAGTATGCCATGTAAAGAAATAATAAAGAAAAAAGAAAATGCCGTTAACTTGTGCATGGGCCTGATACATCACCCCAACAGGGAGGGCTCACCTCTTTCTCGTTCACTGAACGTGTTTGTTCTGTTTCATCTCAAGATTTCTTGCACGCAGCATGATTTTTCTTCGTTTATTTATTTATTCATGTTCACATTTTAAATTGGGTATCTTAACAGATTGCTGGATTTGGTGGTTCGTCCTGTCCCTTCATGTTCTGCAGCACAGGGTGGTAGCTGGCAGTCACCGTGCGGAGCTTCTGCTTCATTCATGGCATCCAGCCCGTTGAAATCAAATACGCACGGTTCCACCTTACAAAAGAATTCTTCGGGAGTGCTAGAGCTGAATTTACTACAGACTCCTCTTGTGGTTAAGGTTTGTATTTGGAGAAAACAGTAAAAACCAACCAAACCAAAAGCCCGTCAACTTTGTTTAAAATGAAACCGCCGAAATGTTTTACACAGACACTGCTGGATTCAAACTGTGACGTATTTTCAGTGCACGTGGGGTTGTTGTACGTACAGTCCGTTTGGAAGCGGGATGTTGGGAACAATCTTGAAGAACAAAAATTTACTTCTAAGTTAATTGCACTGAGGCACGTTGTCTCATAACTTCACGAATTACCCTTGATTTTATTGCGCCCAAGAAAATAAGTTAAAATTGGACTTTTCAATATGTTTAGATCCTTAAAGATGCAGTTTGTAGCTTAACCATCTCATTATGCAAGTGCTCGATAGCTCCGTACGGTTTGACTTGCATTGCCACCAGCAAGAACGTGTGTGCTTCAGTTTCTTAATCCAGTGAAGTGAATGGCAGCTAAGTGATGTCAGACTCGGTCCAATTCAGTGATGGCTTTTTGCAGTAATTTTACTGATTAATTGTTTGTGTTAAACTGTATGTCCATTCACTGCCTTCAAACTCTTCTCATTTAAAGAAATAATAACATTTGACCTGTCTTCCTGCTGCGGGTCTTTTTGCCTTTGCCTGCCTGAACAAAGTAGTTGTGATCTCTCTGAATGACAGCCTTTTTCTTCTCACTGAATATTGTCCCTCTCATTAAACTAGTTTCCTTATCCCCCTTTCAAACCCTTTCAATACTGTAAAATGGTTTTTTTTTTGAGCCGATGTAAGAGGACCTGAATGCTGCTAGGTGAAGACGTGCAGGTATTTTTACAGCAGCACCACTTAATTTGGTGTAGTGTGTGGATGGATTCATTAGTGAAGAAATAAGCTCTCGCTGTTGCTTTGCTGATTGCCATTTTGCATGGCAGTGTGTTCAGTTGCAGTAGCTGGGGTAACACTGGAAGTGGGACGCCTTTGAGAGAGCAGAGTAGAAATAGCAAAAATTACTGTGATGGGAGAGAACAATTCAGAAAATTAATTTGAAAAACAACATTTTATGTTGGCATTGGAGAAAATAAAGGCAAAAGAACCATTAAAAGTATGGGGGTCTTTGGAGAAAGAGCAGTGCAGAGGCTAAACTTTGTCCTCCCTGCTGGTACAGCCTCATTTTGTAATGGAAACTAATGCTTTTGAGAAGTGAAGTCTTCTGTCTTTAAGATTTAGCTTGGTTTTATATTAAATATTTTTATTTCTTTTCCTAGAGAGCTAAATTTTTGGCTACATCTGCTTCTGGTTTTCCTGGCTTTACTCCTCAGTCTATTCTCAGATCCAGCCTTCGCACCACACCTTTAGCAACTCCCTCTGCATCTCCAGGACGATCAGTTACTCCTCCTCTACGAGCAAAGGAACCTAGAATATCTTTCAGGGAAGAGACCTCAAATACAAAGTGGACTGTTGGGGTAAGCTGGGTTGTAGTTAGTGGGTTTTAGTTAAAGGCTTTATAGACTGCGGTTTGATTTAGAATTTTGGGCAGTTTGCCAGAACTCCTTATGTTGAGACCTGGACTTGCGAACCGGAGCGGCAGACTTGAATTTGGTCAAAAAAGGTGATGTTAGACCTTCTGAAACATCACCCGTCGTGCATTTCGAATATGTTCCTGCCATCGGTGACCTTGGCGGTTTCACTCAAGTGTTGTTTTGTTCCAAATTGCTAGTTCAGCTTCCCGCTATGCCTTTTCAAGTGGTGGTATGGCAGGAAGGAAGGGAATACAGATTGAGCCAGTTGTTTGGGCTTGTTAAGCTTTGTGCATCTGAAAGCAGCAGAAGTCATGAGCTGCATTTACTTTCTGTCTCTCTTTTTGCAAGGCTGAGTTTGCTTAAGTTACGGTAAAAATAAGACTCCGGATGAAGAGAGCTGGACTGTTCTCTAGCCCCAAAGTTCTGGGGTTTGCGTCTTGCCTTGCACCAGGGGTAGCATTCATATTATTGTCAGATGAAGTTGGTCCATCTACAAGTTGCCCCCTTCTACTCGGCCTTTTGTCCAGTCATCTGGATTCCCTGACCCAGCTCGTCAGGTTGCGGAAGGACCGTGCCAAGACCAGGGGCGTGTGGCTCGTATCTCCATGTATGAGCTCTCCACACACATACTAACAAATTGTCAGGATCTGGGTTTGTTAACACCTCTTACTGCCTGTTCTAAAAGGCTCCTCAAGCGTAACAAGAGCCTCTCTTTCCTATGTGAAGTCCTACTAACAGTGGCGTGTGGCCAGATGAATTTACTAGTTTCATGCTGCGGGCATAGGGAGCACTAAAAGTTTTTATTAGTGCGTGCAAGTTGTAAAGGCAAGCACAAAAATGGAGAAACCCTGAGTGAGGATTTTAGGTATGTAAAGCTTCCTGTTCTTGTAGACACAGTAGTGAACCTGATGACCAGCCTTGAGATGACAGTAGAAGGAAATACTTGCAAGACCGTCTTCATCTTAATAGTCTCCAAGGTGGTGGAAACTCAAAAAGCAGTCAGAACAGTGATTACTTTTTATGCTCAGCTTTAAAAGCTAAGGTAGTGCTAGAACAAGCATTGATTTTTGTAGCACCTTGCTAAAAGGTGATACTTGTAAAACTTACAAATATTGGTATATATTTGGGTTTTTTTACTTGCTTTTACAAAAAGCATATTTATGTTATTAATTGTGAACTTTTTTTTTTAATGAAAAAAAAAAAAAACAAAACAGGTAACAGAAGATGATAAAGCACTATTTGGAGCTTTGTCGGAACATCATCATGGAGTGGTGGAGGATGCTTGGTCTGAAAGTAGAGATAAGGTAACTCTGTTTACTCTGAGCAATCCTGAGGAGGATGGTGCTGAAATGGAAGAGTCTTCAGAAAGCACACCTGGAGATGGTTTGGAGAAAATGGATGTCAGCAAAGAAAACAGCAGCTTCTCTGTGAAGTCAGACCAAACAACTTTGGATTATCATGATGCAAAATCACCTGGCGATTTTGAAGATGATGTCATCTTTATAGCTGCTAAACCAGCTCATTCTTCCTCTGAAGAAATTGCTGATCTCCAAGCATCGGAGAAGGAAGGAGACAGTGGAATGGTTGAAGATAAACCTTTCCAGGTGGAACAACCAGGTTCATCAGAACTACAAAAAGGATCTGGTGCGTTTCATCCTATGATAACCTAAGTTTCTGGCTTTTTCAGATGTCTTCAAAAGGTTAAGTTACTGATGAGTGCAACAGTTGAATGTTCACAAGTGTCCTAGGCACTTCCTTGTCCGAGGCTTTTGAAATTGCCACTGTGTTTTGAGTCCTTTCCCAGGTATCCTGCACGTTAGGAATGTATACTGCTTTTGGCTGTCGCTTCTTGTGTGTAATGGCAGCTGAGAGGCAGCAGAGACTCGTTGGGAGTTTTGTGAGGGATGCAAGTGGAAAACAGGCTTTGGGTGATGTTTCAGGGGTACTTTTGTAGGCTGCAGGTTTTTCACAGCAAGTTTAGTGTATGGGATGCTTTGGCTAGATAGAATTATTTTATTTTTTAACTACCTCTTTAGTCCTAGTTAAATAGTTTTCTTCTGCTTCTCATTACAGCTGCACTTGCTGATCTTGCTAGCTCAACAGCTTGTGCAGCCTTTTCCAAACCTATTTCAGTCCGTCTTCAGTAATTCAACTCATTCAGGCCAGTCCAGCTGCCGAGGATGTGTTCGCATGAGAAGATGTGCTAGCAGGTTAGGAGAGATGTAGCTCACTAGCTGGTGAGCGGTGATGAAGAGCTGGGAATGGAAGTAGTACGGGAACAGGGAGAAGATGTGCAAACAGCTACAGGCAGTATTTGACAAACAGAGCTCAGTCTGTTCAACTCCTTATAAAAAGAGTTTGCTGTTCCTGGGACGTGGATGCAAGTGGCAGAGTTCTGTGTCTGAGGCCTTGAAACAGTTCGTAGCCGTGAGCGTGTCCTTCAGTCTCGGGGCGTCCTATGCAGCCTGATTCAGTCCTAAGTCTGAGATGATCCTGGAGGATCGTGGAGAGTGACTGTTGCTCTTCAAGTTCCTCAGCTGCTTTTCTTTTTAAGTAACAGGAGTGCCCAGATAAGGAGTACATGGGTAAAAGGGGTTCTCCAGTTCTGAGTGTTTCTAGTAAGACAGGTTGAAACGTTTGCCTGTCCTATTTTAGCTGTCTTGTGTTTGGATAAGAAAGCAAAGGTGCTTTTCATGAAAAATAATGCTAAGGTACTAATCATTAAAGAGTAAGCTTATAAAGAAACTTTGTCATTGTTGCACTATGGTGTACATGGCTCTGTACAGTTTCAGTGCTCTGGAAGCATTGGGGGGCAGTCAGTACAGCTCTTGTTTGGTCTGAGCTAGCAAAATTATCCCAGTCCTGCACACCATCTGCCAAGGGCATTGCTGGATCTGGAGACGGCAGACGGTAGAAACAAAGAAGAAAAGGAGGATTTGTTTAAAATTGAACCTGTTGAGATAACACCAAGTTAGCAAGCAGTTGGGTTTCAACCCCACTAGTCAATGGCTAGAGAACAGGACAAGAAAAGACCTTAGATGCATTCTTGTAGAAGAGGGGAAATGGAGTCAAGCAAGGAAAGAAGCATTGCTGGAGTGAGGTAAATGTCCGACGAGAAATGAGAAAAGTTTTTCCCCAGTTTTAAGGAGCAGGCATGTTTTCTGAAGTTTTCATGTGTTAGGCCAGTAACATATCAAATCTAGTTTGGACACAAAATATTAGTGGTGTGGGTTTTGTGTTGTTTGTTTGGATTGGTTTGGGGTTTGGTCTTTTTGTTTGTGTGGGTTTTTTTTGTTTCTTTTTTTTTCTTTCTTTCTTGCTGGAAATTATGCACCAAACTTCTTGTTTTACTGGGAAGAATTCAGACCTGTGTATTTGAAGTCTTGGTAGCACTATTTTGTTAGATCACTATCCTAGGTGAAATGCATAGAGGCTCACTTTCAAAACCATTTTTTTAAACGAGCGTTTTAAAAGGAGTGATGTTAAGTGCAACAGGGAAGTCACCCCTCTGTCATTTTTTTTTGTAGGATTTGTGGGAGAGTCAAATGCTGAGTGGCTTACCCTTCCTGAGGATGGTAAATTGGCATTTAAAGCAGCTGAGGCTGCTAGTTTGGGGACTGCAAGTGAAGGGTGAGTTTGTAAAATAGATACATCTTTGGGTTCACACAGCATGTAACTGCTGGCATTCCTGTGTTTGGAAACTGTGATTTTGACCTGGCATTGATTCTTTCCTGTGCTCTTAAACCTAACGGCTTTTCTCTTCCTTTCCATCTATGAGCAGAACTAATTTGGTGTGAATATAAGTCAGATTGACTAGCTGTCAAGTTGAACTTTTTTTCTCCAATCACTGCAGACCCCAAAGTGTGGTGATAAAGACTTTATTCAACAGGCTATATAAACCTTTTTACACTTTGAGGGTTACTAAGTAGGGACTGTGAACCTAAGGCCTGCTTTTGCCTGAAAATCGTGTAGCTACAAGTGACACCTGAGACTCCTGTAACTTCAGCAGGTTTATTTTGGGAGTTGAATGCTTTCTGGCAGTATTTCATACGCTTAATTTTTATTTTCTGTGCGTACTCAGCACCTATTTGCTTATGGAAAGGGAAGCAGTTTTCTCACCAGGTACTCGGAAAGCTGCAGCTGCTTAGTGATGAAGACAGAAGACAAATAATGTGTTATTCTTTAATAGAACTCCGTTCTTAGGTTGTTATTATATAGCATTAGATAGCTGGGAATAACGTTAAGTACTTGATTCATTGCATCAAATGAGTCACAAATTCCACGTAGATATGTTGGTGAACGGATTTCTAATTTTCCTTAATTTCTCCTGTTTCGAAACTTGAAGATTTTACAGTGAGAAAGTAATTTGTGGAGCTCTTCAGGGTTTGCTGTGAAGCTTTATGATCAATTTCTCTCTTTCTGTTCATGAAGTGAAACGAACCACCAGGAGTGCAAAACATCCTCTTCCTCGGAAGAAAAAGCCATACCAGTTGCAACAAGCGCACAGCTTGCTGGATCCCTGGAGGCAGACAGTGACTGTATGTACGGTATGTTGGAGATGTTATGTGAGCTAAGGTAGCTGACCTCCTGAAGTAAAATGTGTAGTTTGCCATAGCACTACAGGTGTCTCAGACTGGAGGAGTAGCAGCTTGCTACTGCTGACTTGCACTGAACTGCGGGGAGAATACCGTCCTCAAAGAAGGTCCTTGTAAAAATGCATAGTGAAGGTTCCTGTTTAAGGGGAGACGTGGTGACAAAAGATGAGGAGAAGGCCGAGGTACTTATTGCCTTCTTTGCCTCACTTTTTAACAGTAAGACCAGTTGTTCTCTGGGTACCCAGCCCCCTGAGCTGGAAGACGGGGACGGGAAGCAGGATGAAGCCCCCATAATCCAAGGGGAAAGGGTTAGCAACCTGCTTCACCACTCAGACACGCACAACTCTATGAAGCCAGGTGGGATCCACCCAAGGGGACTGAGGAGAGCTGGCAGCAGTGCTCCCCAAGCCACTTTCAATCATTTATCAGCAGTCGTGGCTAATCGGGAAGGTCCCAGTTGACTAGAAGGTAGCAAATGTGACACCCATCTAGAAGAAAGTCCAGAGGGAGGATCTGGGGAACTACAGGCCTCTCAACCTGACCTCAGCACCAGGGAAGGTTATGGAGTAGATCACCTTGAGGGCCATCACGCAGCATGTAGAGGACAACCCAGGTGATCAGGGCCAGTCAGCACGGTTTTATGACAGGCAGGTCCTGCTTGACTAATCCGATTGCCTTCTGTGACAGGGTGATCTGCTTTGTGGGTAGGGAAAATGCTGTGGATGTTGTCTACCTAGACTTCAGTAATGCCTTTGACACTGTCTGCTACAGCATTCTCCTGGAGAAACTGACTGCTCATGGCTTGGATGGGTGTACCTTTTTACTGAATAAAAAACTGGCTGGATGGCCAAGCCCAAAGGGTTGTGATGAATGGAGTTAAATCCATTTGGTGGCCGATCACAAGTGGTGTATCCCAGGGCTGAGAATCGGGGCCAGTTCTGTTTAATATCTTTATCAGTGATCTGGACAAGGGGATCGATTGCACCCTCAGGAAATTTGCAGACAGCAAGTTGGGCGGGAGCGTTGATCCGCTCGAGGGTAGGAAGGCTCTACAGAGGGATCTGGGCAGGCCGGGTGGGTGGGCTGGGGCCGGTTGTAGGAGATGGAACAGGCCAAGTGCCGGGTCCTGCGCTCGGGTCACCACAACCCCACGCAAGGCTACAGACTTGGGGAAGAGTGGCTGGGGAGGTGCCTGGAGGACAAGGAGCCGGGGGGGGTTGGTCGGCAGCGGGCTGAATGTGAGGCAGCAGTGTGGCCAGGTGGCCAAGAGCATCCTGGCTTGCATCAGTGATAGTGTGGCCAGGTGGCCAAGAGCATCCTGGCTTGCATCAGCGATAGTGTGGCCAGGTGGCCAAGAGCATCCTGGCTTGCATCAGTGATAGTGTGGCCAGGTGGCCAAGAGCATCCTGGCTTGCATCAGTGATAGTGTGGCCAGGTGGCCAAGAGCATCCTGGCTTGCATCAGCGATAGTGTGGCCAGCAGGAGCAGGGCAGGGATCATCCCCCCGGGTACTCAGCCCCGGTGAGGCCACACCTTGAATACCGGGTTCAGTTTTGGGCCCCTCACTGCAGGGAAGGCACTGAGGTGCTGGAGCGTGTCCGGAGGAGGGCACCGAAGCTGGTGAGGGTTCTGGAGAACAAGTCTTAGGAGGGGCGGTTGAGGGAACCGGGGTTGTTTAGCCTGGAGAAAAGGAGGCTGAAGGGAGACCTTATCGCTCTCTCCGGCTTCCCGAAAGGAGGTGGTGGTGAGGTGGGGGTCGGTCTCTTCTCTCAGGTAATGAGTGATAGGACCAGAGGAAGCGGCCTCAGGTTGTGCCAGGGGAGGTTTAGGTTGGATGTTAGGAAAAATTTCTTCACCAACAGGGTTGTCGAGCACTGGGAAGGGGTTGAGTCACCATCCCTGAAGATACTTAAAGGACATCTAGGCATGGTGCTTAGAGACATTGTTTAGTGGTGGACTTGGCAGTGCTCAGTTAACGGTTGGACTCGATGATCATAAAGGTGTTTTCTAACCTAAATGATTCTCTGATTCTCTTCTGTGTTCTTGATAAAGATATTGAGAAAAGCAGTAGAATTTAAAATATTAGAAGGAGGGCTCAGTATTTATTGTAATCTTGTACACCACTACTAAGTTGTGTGCTTGATTTGTGCTATTTTCATGTTCCATCACTCTGAACGTCCCCCCCTTTTTCCTCCTTCCCCCAGCTTTATATGCTGACCATGACATCATATGGTATGGACTATCCCCTGGACCCGCTGGGGTCAGATATCCCACCTGTGTCCCCTCCCAAATTCTTGTGGGTGGGCTGAGGAGCAGAAAAGGCCTTGACTCTGTGGAAGCACTCTTCAGCAGTAATAAAAACATCCTTGAATTATCAACACTGTTTTCAGCACAGATCCAAAACGTAGCCTCATACCACGTGCTGCGAAGAAAATGAACTCTATCGCAGCCAAAATCAGCATTATAGTTTCAGCTTCTAATTTTTGGAGAAAGCCCAATATATGTGACAGAATGGAGAACTGTACTTGTTGGCTCCTGCTCCCTTTGTTACTTCTGTTGTGTAAACCTGTGTCATTTCTATAGTGCTTAAGTGAAAATTACATAAATCTCTTCCAGGTGTGATAAGTATCCTTGACAGTGAGGATGTGGTCAGTACTCATTCAGAAAATCGCCTTGAGGGGAAGCACGTGGATTTGCCTGAAGAATGTAACCTGGAAGCAGCTGAAGTTGAAGAAAATGTTCCCTTTCCACAGGAAGAAATAATGGTTTCTAACAGTCTTCCTAAAACTGAGGAAATTAACGTAAGCAAGCTACTTTCCCATTTTCTACAAAATAGAAAGCACTGCAAATTTGGGACAGTCGTGTTTTACAGACAATTAGAAGGCACACAAAGCCACCTCCGTTTCTTTAGCTGGTCACCACAATTTAAAGCCTCACTACGTAAGGGCACATACGTTTTTCTCCTATGCATTTGCTGTACCTAGAACGTGGAACAGAACCTGTCAAGACTTGGACCTTTGAGAGCTCCAGTAGTACAAAAAAAAAATGCCTAAACTATTTTTCAAAAGAACTGCATTCATTTGGTTTACTAGAACTTAAACTTTTCTTATTTGACTTTAATGTGAAAACTTTTTTTTATGACAATAAGAAAGGTTATGGAGCACAGCTTTTTGATGCTGGAGGACATTTATCAACTGACAAAATGATGTGGGAACCAAACTCATTTTCAGAATGATTTAGTTGCTTAGGTCCTTTGCTCTTTGTTCCTTATTACCATAAAGAGAATTCCCAGTAATGAGTTAATTTCAGTGTCAATGTATTTCCAGCTATCTAAAACTACTTTTTTTTGTTTGTAAAAATGTGAGGTTTTTTAACGTCTGAACTTTGTAAAATACAAATTTGAAAAGGTTGTTCACATGGACTGAAAATTAGAACCAGAGATTCTCCAGTTGTCCCAAGTTTTCCCACCATCATTCTTACCTCTACTGGGGCTGATGAGTTACTTGGATTCATTGTGGATGTCCTCTGAGTACCAGATAGGGCATACTGCCAGTTCCCTGTGGGATTATACTCACAAGAATTAGTAATAGTTAGAGTGAAATGCAAACTAAAAGGTAGGCGTACTAAAAATGGATTGCTCTTAAGTAACGGATAATGTTTTTCAGTGTCTCAGATTGCAGATGAAGTTAGATAGGCAGGCAATTATTTAGCTCATTTGGGCTTTGGGACTTAGGACAACACCGTGGAGAAGAGGATTATAGATTTGGGAACACATAAATCACTTATGGGAGTAAATGAAAAACCTGTGATGGGAAGGAAGGAGCAGGTACACGAGACGGTTACAAAGCTGCTGCAGTCATTCATGTAGCAGTGCAGTGACGCTTTTTCTGCTTCCGTCACAACTGGTTCTGACTGATTTATATGTAAACATCTCTTTTTGCCTGGTCTACCTTCACTGAATTTAGGGCAAACTACTTACTGCTTTCTTGTTTGTAGATCTGTAAGCACAGAAAGAAAGTTTAGGCAGACCAGTATTTTTTGAATTTAGTTAGGAAGCGTGGCATGTTGCTATCATATGATGCCTTAGCAACTTTTGACAAGGCAGGAGGCGAGAAAACAAGCAGATTCTGTGGAGACTCCTGTTGAGCGGTTTCTCCCTTCTGCCTTCGTTGGCTGGCACTGCAAATTAGAGGGCTGGGCAAAGATCTTTACACGTTGATTAAATTACCCTGACCACCTGAGTCACTTGGAATACATAACAGATACTACTTCTTTGTTCTCCACGTGAAAGCTTGAGTATCTCCTGTGGATCTTGAAGGAAGGAAAGAATAATTGCTCAGTAGAGGGAACTACAAAACATGAGATGGCAATATTCAGAATGCATGTGTTGTCTCCTGCCATCCAAGTGATTCCCTAAGGTGCGGTGTCGAGCTGTCAGATGTGACACCTGGCCAGTTTGGCCAAGCGTTGCAGTCACAACTATCACGACAGGAACTTTAAACTTTGGGGATGTAATTGTACTTACCCTGTTAGGTGCAGAGTCGGTCACTCTGTGCTGTGGATTTGTGGTCAGTCCAGAAAGTTCTGCAGCGTGGCGACTGCTGCTGGTTGGGTGTGCAGCTTGTATTGTAAAACTGCTCACGTTGTTCACAGGTGGTGGCAAATCATTATCCAGGAACAGAAATAGCAGAACTGAAGCACATGTCATTGCATAAATGGAATATTCTGCTCTCTGTCCCTTAAACGCATAAACTTTTATCTGTAGTAAGAGAGTAGATTGATTGTTTCTCACTTGCAGCATTTCACTGTCCTCAGTTTCACCAATCTCAGCTTGAAATCAGTCTGGTAATTAATAATGCATTAACAGACGTTTTTTACTTTTAGGTTATTGAAGATAGTGTGGGTAAGGTGGCAACCTCAGAAGCGGCACCTGAAACATCGCTGTGTAGTGAATTCCACCCATCAGGCAATCTTCAATACAGCTATGCTTCTTTAGAGCAACAATTTGCACATGATTTGCCAGCTAGTGATGATGGCGAATGTGATGCAGCTGAGGGAGATGGAGAGCTCTTTATATCTCCAAGCAATTTTACTTTAGTCTTGGAAGGAGAAGAAGGCGAAGCAGAGATGGGAGACCCTACGTCAGTAGATGCTTCTAAAGCAGCAGGCACAACAACAGAGGAAAAACCTGTGACCAGTTTAGGAAATACTGAAACCCAAGAACATGTTACAAACTCAGTGTCCACTGTAACTAGTGATCAGGAATCTCAAAATATTGCGGAGTCGTTCCCGTATGTGCCTGAACCCATTAAGGTAGCTATTGCTGAGAACTTACTGGATGTAATCAAAGACACAAGAAGTAAAGAATTTACATCTGAAGTTGTAGAACAATCTATTAATGAGACCATAGGTAAAAAGGTCACTAGGTTCCGGAAGGGAAGAGCTCCCTTAACAACTGTGCCAGGAGTGGAAGATGAAAGCAGGATGCATCAGGTAGAGTATGTCATCACTCCTAGGACACGCGCAAGGGGACAGCTGAGTGGAAGTCTGGGTGTTCCCTCGGCAGGCACTCAGCAGCTGCTGCAGAAAGACAAACCAGTTCTGTTTGGACTGTCTCCTGGGAGAGGTACCAAGCGAACAAAAGAAGCGCCTGAGACTCCCAGTCTTCAAACAGAAGGAAATACTCAAGATGAACAAATACCTGCGATGCCTGTTACTCCTAGGAGAAGTACCAGGCGAACAAAGGAAGCGCCTGAGACTTCTAGTCTTCAAACAGAAGGAAGTACTCAAGGTGAGCAAATACCTGTGGTGCCTGTTACTCCTAGGAGAGGTAGGAAGCCTAAACTCACTAGTTCAGAAAAGGTAGAAAGCAGCCATTCTGATGGACAAGCGTTGCCTGTCAGCAGGCTGCCCGCAGCTGTCACTCCAAGAAGAGGATTAAGGAGAGCAAAGGAAGCTGCGTCCGAAGTCTTGCAAGAGGCTGACAAGGAAAGTTCTCCTGCTGAAGGTAGCATTATTGCTTCTGCTCCTCCCAAAAGGACTAGAGGAAGAAAATGTTCAGCAGGAGGTCAAGAAGCTGGCCAGAGTGCCGCTGATCAGAAGATTAAAAAGGCAGCCAGTCCCAGCAGAAGTGCAAGAAAACTGAAGCACGTTAATTTAGAATTTACTGAAAGTATTGTCAAGGATCAAGAGGGGCAGCCTGGAGACCAGCTGCTCTTACCTGTGCCAACTAAAAGAGGCAGAAGGAGAAAGATGAGTTCATCAGAAGTTTCAGAGAATTCCGACCTTGATCTGTCTAAATCATCGCTTCCTCAGGCAGGATTTAAACTTCCTGTCACTCCTAGAAGAAGTGCGAGGAAGGGGGCACAAAGTTTCTTGGAAGGCAAAGAATCTGCCTCTGCTCAGGAAGGCATCCATGCGGGTGGGGAAGTGGAAATCCTTGACACTCCTAAGGGAAGAAGAAGAAGAGGAGTTCCACAAGCCAAGCAAGAAAAAACAGATACTCATGAACAAGAGCTTCCACTGCCGAATGAGGAATCAGCCACACCTGGGAGCACAGTGAGGAGAGGCCGTGGGGGCAGAAAGAGACGGTTGTTACTGAAGGAGAGCACAGGGGAGGAGGCCTTCTGCCGAGGACCTGATGGCAGTCCTTTGCTGCTTGAAGAGACAGACCTGTCAGGACGTGATGAAGGATCAAGAGCTTTAACAGATCACGTTACAAGAACCAGATCCTGCAGAACTGCCGTGCATCGGAAACTGTCTGTTGAGGAAAACGAGGCCTTCCTTTTCTCTCCTCCTCTCACAAAGCTGACAAAGAAATTCAAAGGTAGGTGCGCTGTGTTTATACACGAAACAGGGCGTCTTGCTCTTTTGCAAACCACAGAAAAGAGACCGTGAGGACAGCTTTAAGTATTGGAAAGAATGTAACCCTGCAAAATGAAAAATACTGCTAGAGGCAATTCATCTTTTTTTCTGAGCTCTGTATGACTGGGTGGCTAGTTGTGGTGGAAACAGAAGAGGAGACTGCTCTGAGTGAAATGAAATTTACGCTGAATTTTTGTTGAGCTTGCCCTCTATCAGTTTCCAAAACCGAAGGGTATCTGTTATATATATGTTTATATATATGATATATGCTTATATATGTTTTATAGATATATATTTTATATATATATGATTGCCATCCTTTGCCCCCAGTGGGGACATAAAGGAGACATGCTTCCAAGTTCTGTCCTGTTTTTAACTTAAAATGAGCTGCATCTTGCAACAAACTATACAGCTGTTTAATTAATTGTGTGATTTTATTTTTTTTTTTTTTTCCCTCATGGCCATATGCTAGGGAAGTTACTGTGCATAGGCTTCTTTTTATTAGAGTACGTGATAAAAAAAAATAATAATAATTTTGAGATGTGTAAGGACCGTTGATGCCTCTTGAGGATTGTATCTTTGGTTACTTAAGTGCAGGTGAAATCACTACACTGGTTTATTTTTGTTCCACAAATTACTTTAAAAAATAATGGATCCCGAGAGGCAGTCACTGGGTGAAAATTACCTCCACACCGAGTGTATATAAACTTAATTGGACCTTTTACTTTGGGAAGCTATTGTGCTTTTGATTGTCAGCTCTAATTTAACTTCACTGTTCTTTAGGTATAATATACATGCGCGTTAATAATGCATTGTCATTTTAGCTGGAAAAGCAGACCATCCTGTGCAGCTTAAGGATTTAGACCCGGACTTGTCTTCTCAATTTGTCTTTTCACCCCCTCTTTTGAGGTCAAGGAGAAAAAATGTATCTAGCATTTCCCGAATTGTGAAAGAACCAGTAAGTAAAAATTGTAGTTGTCTCGTGTTCCTGATTTTTGCTCTGTAGCGCTTTTTCAAATCGGACTTTGCAATGCCTTTCCTTTTCCCTTGAAAGTATATCTTAAAAGAGCTTTAAATTAATCAGCTAAGCAATTTATTTATTTTTCTTTCGTGAAAACTAGCTACAAAAGTCAAATCTGAATCTATGTAAGTCAAGAATTAATAAGTATTGCTTTGCCTATAATAAAAGGCGCAGTGGCTTTCTTTGAACTTACTTGGTGTGTTATCTGCTAATTAGAGTAATTGACCTTTTAGGATGGTACGATTGAGATGGAAAGTTTGTTTTTTGCGGAGAGAAACCGTAATACTTCTGGAAATAAGTTTGGCATGACTTCTTCATGAAAGAAACATTATTTTGTATTCTGTGTATGAACTTGTGCATGAATAACGTTGCTGTTGCCTTAACATAGGAGCTTCCAACTAAAGAGGAAGAGGATACCCAATCCATAGAGTCTGTGGGAAAGCAAAAATTGAAGAGGGGTAGAACTGCAAAATCAAAAATGAAGAAAGCAAGCAAGTATGAAATTATGTTTGAACACGTATTTGCATTCCTTTATTGTGGTAGTGCTTCAGCTGTTAGCCTCCTAACTTCTTCTTCCTCGCCTGGCTCCGCGGTTGTGCTCTGACTTTATAGCCTGTCCAACCTGCTGCTCTAATCGGCACCTTTTTCCCCACTTAATGGTTTAGTTTTCTAACTGGAAACAGAAGAGGGAGGGATAGAAAAGGGCAAGGGGGTGCTACTCTGTGCAGTGCTGGTGCGCTCTTGCATTGTCTTATTCCACCTTATGAACCCACACTCTTACAGTCTTTAGTTCCCCATACAAGGCAGGAGGGGGTCAGACAACGATTGCAGAGAACTTCTTGTTGCTGGGCATGTTTTCTGGTTCCTTGTGGAAAACGGTTTAGAGGACATTTGCCTCTCAAAAGCTGGAGGAGGGGGGGGTGGGCGCTCTAAAAGCTCCTATGAATAGTGACTGAGAATACTTGGTACTGTCTGTTAAGGGATGAAAGCACAAGGAAGTGTATTTATGTACCTTTTCTGCCTTGATCCTATCTACAAAGAAGCCTGTAAATAATTCTTTGGCATTGATTTTTTTTTAATTCCCTGGGGTTTTTTCCTCTACTAAATACTGTTGATAAAAAAAAACCATCAATCTGATACTTCTCTTTCTTTTCAGAACCACAAAGAAAGAAGGTTCTTGGTCACCTCCACCGGTGGAGATTAAATTCATCTCTCCTTTTGGAAGTCCAGTGGATGGAACAAAAAGCAAACAGAAAGAAACCACAGACGCAGCAGAGAAGACTCTACGAAAGAACAAAAAAAGACTGTCTAATTTTCCAAAGCCAGTTGTGCGCCGGAAGATGCTGTAACTGTTTTTTAAGTTTATAATGTACACCACTGTTTGTAAAGTCATCAAAATTATGTGGATTAATAAAAAGAAAAAAAATCATTAATTTGGAAGAGATAATTTATATAAATTATTGTAAAATTTCATAAGCAAATGGTCTTCAGTAAGTAACTCCGTATGGAGTGTGATTTCCTCAGTCAATGCAGTTTTCTATTTTATATTGAGACTTCATACATTTATATAATATGTAAATACAGCTTATTTTAGGAATGTTAAATAAAAATGTATGCTTCACAATCTGCTTACTGTCTGATAGCTTTTTGAGGGAATAGTGGGTTCAATCATCTGTACCATTCAGAAATTTTAATGTTGGTTTGCAAGAATTGCTGACCCTCAAAAGTGAGGTCAAAAGCTTTTTAAGCTTTTTAAAAGTTTGCATAGAGCTTCTTTTAACAAGTAAACATTTTAAACATACTCATTTAAATTTTATAAATTATGTTTGACCTTCTGGCACAAATAATTGGGCTCACAATACAAACTGGTAATTCCTTACATTCACGGTTAAGTTGTACTGTATTGAAGTCAGAATGTAAACAATTGTATTTTAAGCTGTGCAATATATATAATTTTTTTTTTTTTTGTATTTGTCTTAAACTTTGGGAAAGCTGCTCTTTAGTTCATAAAACTAGATCACATCTCGGATGATTTACTATTTTTTACAATTTGTTATCAGCAAAAAATTAACTGTATAGAAGGTTTGATGCTTGCAGTAGCATATCAGATTGAAAGGGATACTACCTGCATACTTGGGAATTTAAAGCGAAAGTATTTTCATAAAGTTAATAGGAATGCTACTATAATTGAAGGAATTATTGTCTGTAAACATATTTTGCAATATTTGAAGCCTGCATATCACGGCACTGGAAACCTGATGGTAAAGCGAACGTAATAGTCTGAAAAAGGTACAAAAATGTACAGAAATCTTAGTTGCAAACCATATGTTTGAACAATTATGTCATTCATAATCTGGGGCTGTGGAGTAAATGTTCCCTACAAAGCTTCAATTTGTAAAAATAGATTCAAAAATCTATTCTTTTAAAAGCAGACATGGAAGTACTATTTTGATGTGCAGTCTTTTAGACAATGGATTATTTTTATGTATGTTAATTTATGTATGGATGCAACGTTGAAGACTACAGAACGGTGGAATCTGACATTAAACTTTTCCATTAGTAAAAACCACTAAAGTTACTCTAAGAAATAATTTCCTGGTTAACTAATACCTTGTAAATAACAGGTGAATGTAATTAAGCTGGTAAAAGAAGTTTCTTCTGGGCCCGTGGTTTTTCTTATCTCAGAACAGGTCATTCGAGAGAAGCGGTTGCATGCACTTTGATATTTTTCTCCTTGGAAGTACTCGTGACTGAATGAAAGCTTGAAAAAACCATCAAATGTTGACAGTGTGAAAGTGGCAGTTCGAGTGGGACCTTTCAGTCAGGTTGGTAATTATTTACTCTGAATATTTTGTACTTGAGCTGGAATAGAAATATGGTCAGAGAGGAAATGGGGGAGGAGTTCAAGCAGTATTTTTTTAAATTCGCTTGGTACAGAAATGCAGTGAATAGCTCAGAAAGTGGGGTAAAAGATCAAACTTTGAAAACTGGAATAGAAAACGGATGTCAGAGCTGAACATATATTTTGTGCAGTGCACAAGAGTATTTATCTGATTCCTGATCAAATAGAATTGACTGATGAAATGCTAGTGAAGGTTGCTGTATAGGGTTTTGCCATGTTTCTGTCCTTTATACTGACAGTATATTTTTTGGTATGAAAATCAGAACAAATGAAAACATCATACTAGCTAATTTTATGAATAATTTGTAGTAATTTTTAGCTTCTATTTTATAACCATCTCAGCTGAATTATCCTCATTTGGCAGTGCTTTGGAGGAAAAAAAGAAAGCAGTAGCGATAACGAGAAAATTGGCATGAGATTCAGCTACTTCCTAGAGGCTTGTAATAGTTTAGTAATTTTTTACTTCAAAGGAGTTTTAATCCAATTATATGTTAAATTGTTTTCCTCTTTTTTTTTTTTTTTTTTTTTCCCCCAGTTACTTAGATTCAGTGCATAGTTCTTGGGTGCTGACCATCTTCCTGAGGGAGCAGTTTGAAAAGGAGTGAAAGCATAGCGTGCAGCAAGGGATGGGATTTCAGCAAGTTGAAGGACGTAGGAGGAAATGGAAGCAAAACCAGGCACTGGGAATTTCTGTTTAGAGCCCGAGTAAAGGAGAAGCAGCTAGCCAAAAGCATCAGGATGGCAGCTCAAGGATGGGTTTATGACAAAGTGGAGGAAACAGGTTTTAGTTAGGTGGTGTTTGTGTAGGCTTGCTACAAGTGGGTGAAGGATACAGTGGGAAAGCTGATTTCACCGAGGGTGAGAAAGATCTAGTGCAGGGGCAGTGCTGAGCAGCGAGGGTGAGCTGGGAAGGAGACTGCCTCTTCAAAGGTTAAAATGGGTTGGGGCTTGGTGGCTGAGCAGGCTGAGAGTCTCAGCAGAGAATTGCTGGTGTTTTCACACGTATCTGAGAGGAAGATAATATTCCTGGTGCCGGAGAAGGGCATGGGGGGGTCTGTGAAAGAAAGAGGGGTGATTGGGAGCAGACGGCTGTAGGGGCATAGAGCAGCGATCCTCTTGGGGAGCATGAGAATTTCCGAGGGGCTGCACGGTCCGGTTCATCACTGGAGAGAGCAACTGGGAAGTTTTCCTTTAGGAAATTTAAATTGCTTGAGGGGTGGGTATTTTTTTTTTTTTTTTCCCACCCTAAAGTAAATCTAGAATTTCTCAAGCGTGTTTTGGCGCGTGTGCTTTTGGTCTAATGTCAGACCGCTGAACGCTGAAGCTGAACTGTGCATCTGTCCCTGGGGGGGCTGTAACCCCAGAGAACATTGCAGCCTCTCACCTTTCAGAACAAAACCAGATGTAACAGCAGGTTTTATTTTCAGGGAACACATAGTATGAGATATTAGTGAGGGGAGAGCGAATATTAATAAGATTAAGAGCTGTTGTTAGAAGGGGATTTGTCAAGAAAAATAAATATTTCAGTAGGAATGTTTCCCTGAATTGCCTCAGACGGTTAACAGACAAGACTTGTTTCCTCAAAAGTTTAGAAGCCAAGGCTGATGAAAGTATTGATTCCAGGTTATAATGTGAAGGAGAATGAAATCTATTTTACTTTTGATAGCCACCTGGTGCTTAAAGCATTAACTGCTTTGCACTGACTTATTTGCTTTATTATCTGTACACGCCCGGTGTGCAAATACGGCCAGAGATAACTAATTTCATCCCCCACCAGCGCTTCCTCTCATGGAAGACTACTCTCAGGGTTGTCAGCACAGTAAGTTCCTTTGCTGCAGTTTCATCCGTTCCCATGTGACTAATCACAAATAGCTTAGCTGTTGATTTCTGGTGGGGAAAAACCAAGCTACGGGCGGCAGTGCTTGTCACCTATTAGTCTAGGCCAATCTGAAAATACTATGAAATCATAGACTCTCAAGTCAGAAGGTAGCATTTTGTTCTTATTTTGTTGGTACTTTTGTCTTCTGTGCAAAACTTGCAGGTTTCCAGTCCAGGAATGCTTTTTTTTTTTTTCTTTTCCCCTCCACCGAAGTAATCCAGATAACGAGTCTCATGGATATGCTTGGAGATACATGTTCTGTGGTTCCTGTTGAATTCAAGCTGTTCCTAAAATAAAATGCGTTTTTTCGAAGCACTCTGCCGTGTGGATGACCAGTATGTGAGGGAGAGGGAAAAATGCAAGTTAGAGTTACCGCTGTGTCCGTTGGTGCAGGTCGCTTACTCCTTGGCTGTGTATCCCCTGGCACAGGTTACGAGCAGGCTTACCCCACAGCAGTCCTTGCTGTGGTGTGCCTTGCTGTTCAACTTGGCTTAAATGCAGACTGAGACAGGAACTATCCCTGGGTGACCGATTGCTTGCCTTTTGATGCTACAACTGTATTTTCAGCACACGGAGGAGAGCGCGGGGAAGCAGCGTGCAAGTTTCTTGTGCACACCAACAGCACAAGCATATGTGACCCTCGGAATCCAGGGCCCAAGAAAACCTTTACGTTTCATCTAGCCCACTGGTCTCATAGAGGCTTCCGAAAGGATGAGATTGGTTTGCTCATCTTAGCAGGATCCAACAGCTGTGCTGGCCAGGTAAGATTTTATTCGAAGAGCCGACCACAAGCAGTTGTAGCTAATACAGTCGTAGACTGGTCATTTAGTTTATCTCCCATTACTAACGTCTGTGTTCTGCAGATGACTGGCACTGATCAGTTGACTGGTTGGAAGCCTCACCTCGTTTTTGTCTACACTTCCATCATCCCAGAGCTCAGGTTTCAAGCACGTTTGCAAATCTTGATTCCTAACTTAACCTGTCAGTGGGGGCACGCGTCCCAGGCAGCAGACAGAGGCCCGGCGCCCGTTCCGTGCAAAAAGCTCTTCAAAGCCACCCAGCATTGGGAAAAGTACAAGCAGTGCCAGGTGGGATTAGGGCAAAGTGTCATTTATTCCCAAGGTCTTTCCAGGCTGTGCTTTAAAAGACTGGGTTACTCTCAAATCGGAAAAATAGGAGCTGTGACTCTGTGGAGCAGCTTCCAGTACAAGACAGAGTGGATCCTATAAAATAATGTGGGGAACAAAGTTGATGTAGTACAGCTGGATTTACAGAGCAACCCTAAAATGATACTTCGTCACAGGTGTAATTAATTGATCCCTTACATGAGAACCAAAAATGTTAGTCTTTAGTAAACTTTCTCTTTTTTTTCACAACTGTTCAACCTCTGACCTTCCCTTACCTCCCATAAAGCCAGCTGACCTTCAATCTCTCTTCTGCTTCCTCTCGTCATTCTTGCACAGGGCATTCATGAGAAAGCCCAGCACCTCAGTAAGGAAAATGAATGCTTTCTCCCCTACAGCTTTAGAGGGTACAGAAGCTTTACGGTGCCTCACCTCTCCACTACGGTAGGATTGAAGTTTTCAGCCACGCAGTACAGCTTTTGTAGCTGCTGGCTGCTCCCACTCCACCAGCCTCCTTCCGCGCTGGTGGTCCAGTGGATTCTAGCGCTGCTGGAAGCACAAAGCTTCACTCCCGTGCGGCAGGGCCTTCTGTGTACGAAAACACTGCCCCGCTCACCGAGGGCTGCTTGCGATCTACTCCTGTGTTACTTCCCCTTAAGAAAGTGCTTTTGTCCTCCCAAGCCAGCCTCCCCCGCTGCGTGCCAGCAGGAACGACGCAGGGATGCCCTTTGTGAAGGCATTTCTGCGAAATCTCACTCCTCCCCGTCTCGCTTGCCGTACCAATGTGGAAATGAAATCCCTATCCGAAGTCGAGTCACTCCCATTACGCACGGTTCTCGGACAGAGGAGAAAAAAAAAAAAAAAAGCGTGTCCTGGCTCTTTCTTTTTACTTTAAGTTCTTAACCATAGTCTTACGGCTACTGACTGACCAGATTGCTTTTTGAAGTCGGCAGGTTGAAGCCTCCTTGTTGCGATTCGAGCTCGGGAGTGACACCGCGGCCGCGCTGTCGCTCTGTGGGCTCCCGCGCGCGCCCACCTTCGCAGAAGCCCCGGAAAATCAGCGTTGGCCTCAAAGCCCAGCTGCCCTCTGTGCCCCCACCCTGGGCTCCCTCCCTCGCCGCTGGCTGAGACACTCAGTTTTCCCAGAGACGGGTTTTCCTCCCGCTCGCTGGCTAGACCCCCCCCACCCCCTTCCAGTCTGCTAGCAGTTTTCACGGGCACCTATGGCTTGGGGGGGGGGGGGGGGGGGGGAATACAACCACCCACTCCCTCCCCTCGCGGGCTCCTTGGGCACGTGTGTCCCACGACTGTGGTCAAACACGTGTCCCGTGACCGGCTTGACAAACCTGACCGCCTTCCACAACGAAGCAACCCGCTCGGTTGAGGTGGGACGAGCGGTGGACGTGGTTCCCCTTGGGCTTCTCCAAGGGTTGTGATACGGTTCCCCACAACCTCCTCCTGTAGAGAAAGGGGGATGTGTTACAGCCTGGACAAGTCGGGGGGGGGAGGCGGCTGCCAGGCAGCACCCAGGGGCTGGTGGCGAAGAGCTCTCCTTCAAACTGCCAACCTGTCACAAGAGGCGTCCCCCAGGGATTGATTTGGGGCCCAAGAGCTGTTTGATATCTTCAGGAGCGATCCGGGTGATGAAATTTTGCTGCTGGTTCCAAACTGAG